TAAAGAGATTAAGTAACTTGCCCAAGGTCACATAGCTAGTAAGTGGCAGGGCCAAGTTCTGATGCCAACTTAGACTATACCCTGCTGCCTCATTCTGTAAATACCTATTAAGGGCTTAGTTATTTGCAAGATGTATTGCCAGCCTCTTCAGGACTCAGGCTTCATTAGGGCTTCTGGGGAACCCCTCATCAGCTACTCCACGGGCCTGGCTCCAAGAAAGTGAACACTCCACAGCCCGCTCATTACTCAAGGGCTTTTGGGGAAGGTGGTCAGCTTCTGGTAGGAATGAAGCTCTGTTTTCGGTCCCTTTCAAGGACCTAACAGGAAATATCTTGCTTCAGCCTAAACTGCTGAGGGACATATTCAAGTGGATGGCACTCAGCAGGTTTGGAATACCACATTCCTCAAGTGCTCTGAGTTTCTGAGCAACAGTGAAAAAATTCCATAGTTAGACTTCTCTTTCTGGATACTCACTGACAGTGACATCGGAATTAGGTAGTTTATATGTATCTGTCCCACACATACAAAACGCTTCACAGAGGGTGAGTCCAGAAACTTTGTAGGGGACTGGTTCTTGGATACCTGGAAGACACTGCTGGCTCCACTGCTAATTCTGACTACCGCCTGTTTGAGGGACTGGTAATCCGTCCCCCTCCTCCCCTAACTGAAACCCTCTTTCCTCCATTCTTTTACCTTTATTGCCAACTCCCCACTCTGTGAGCCCTGGCAAATGTGTCTTCATTTTTTGATCTCCTCTCTCCTTGATCAGACCAGTTCATAGCTGTGAGATCTGTATAGCCGTATGGGAACCCACACTGAGAAGGGCCCTTGTGGTTGGTTTAATGCTCTGCTGTCACTGGCTTGAAATTCTTAATGATTTTTGAGCAAGGTGCCCCACACTTCACTTTGCACTGGGCCACGCAAGTCATGTAGTCAGTCGTGCTCCTTGCTGTGGACACTGAGATAGGGAGAAGAGTCTCACCGCACAAGGTAAGAGTGGTGGGATAGCTGCGGTCCCTCTCTGGAACTCAGCAGGCACCTCCACATGGAGACCATCCGTAAAAGTGGATCCAACTGATAATAGCGCCACCTTCCTCAGCCTCAATTTCTTCATCTCTAAAATGGGGACAGTAGCATTTACCCTTGCATGTCATTGCAAGCACTGGGTGGGATCATGTATCAAGTACCCACCAGAATGTTTAATATACAATTGGTGTTTGCTTGATGCAATCCATGGAAGATAGCAAGTGCAGAGAACAGAGTTTGAACTCTAGAATTAGAAGCTAGCTTAAATCAGATCAGCCCCACTGCTTAAAAAGATGTATGACCTCGGCCGGGTGACTTGGCTTCTCCCAGCCTCAGTTCCGTTATCTGTAAAATGGGAATGTTAGTATTTACCTTGTAGGGCAGTTTGGGGATTCAAATATTCTAATGTATTTAAAATAACTAGTTTATCACCTGGCATGTAGTAGGAGCTCAAAAAATAACAGTTCTTAGTTTGGTTCCCTTACAACACAATTTCTGCACTCTAAACAATTCATTTACAAGTGATGTTAGGATACGACCATTAATAAGTGTCTTATACTATACAGCTTCCTGTATACTCTATGACCTTCAACATGTAGCCTCTTTGTATGTGAAAATCATTTTGTAAAAAATATTTGAGGCTTATTTTTTCTTTGCTAGACTATGACTTCCTTGAAGGCAGGAACCATGTCTTAATTACCCTTGTGTCCTAGAATACCTTCTAACACATTATATAATCTCAGGTGAATAAAATCTCTCTTTTGTTTATGCCAACAATGAGATGATAAATTTCATAACATTCCTAAGTTAGCAATTAGTAATTAGCCTGTTAATGATTAGGAAGCAGAAGGAACTCAATATAGCCCTATCCCTGCCATTAAAGGTCTTCTAATACTTGACATCACACCTGGCTCATCATCCAGCATCCTTGGGCCTGGTTCTTACTCCATGAACAAAACGATTCCACAGGGAACACCAGTTGTGTGCAACCAACCACCTTCCTTGCCAACAAACAACCTATGTCGAGAGGCCACTGGGGGAAGAATTTCCTGAAACCCCAACAGTTGAGTCATAATTTGATGCCTCTTAGGACTCAAAGAGGGCTCAGAACTGTTACTTTTAACAGTTTGAGCGGTCATGGGTCCCTTCAAGAACCTTCTGATAGTTATGGACATTCTCTACAGAAAAATGTACTCAATATCTTACATACAATTCCAAGGTGTCTTCAGGCCTCCTGCAGCCCTTGTACCTAGGTTAAGAATTCTTGTTAGAATAGCCCAGAAAACCGAATGAGCAACGCAAAAGATTCAAGTTTCCTGATAAATTCTAGCCCTGACTAGTCACATGTGCTTGTTCAAAACAAAGCAAAACAAAACAGTTACAACTCCCTAGATTCAACCTCAGGGTTATCCCTGAGGGCCTAGTCCCAGGCATTAACAGTAAGGGCATCCAGCCAAGCAGTGACTACTCTTTGGAAAACCTAAGTTTAGCTGAGTAAAACTGAAACCTTGTTTGATAATATCATTTACATTTCCAAATCCCCGTATCAAGCTTTCTTCCTATCCCTTGTGGCCCTTCCTAAATTTAGCTGCTGGTGTAATGGGGTAACCATGGCAACAACCACCTGCCTATTTAAAACCATCTCCAAAGCTAAATAAGGAATCCTGGAAAAACATGGCTGCTCGCCTGCCTCTCAGTGGACAAACTGTGCATTCCTGGGTATTTTCAACATGAGCAAGCAGGCAGGGTAGAAGCAGCATGGACTCAAAAGTTCTTAACAGGAAGTGTTCTGGGACCTTGTGAAACAGGGCCTACCTCTACGCCACTACTTCTTCACTTGTTAGTAGGCACATGGATTTACATGCAAATCCCTGTGTCTGGCATCCTTAGGTGACCACATGACCTTGACCTCAACCAGGTGAAGAGTAAGATACACACCTAACTGCAAAGAGTAGTCTTGTTGATGGAAACTGGGAAGTGGGGAGGAAAAGTAGTCATTCAGATCACAGTGAAACTGTTCATACTTGGGTTGAAATGAAGTTACAACTTTTTTTCTGACAGAGGTATCTTTCTAACTGTACTTAATCATGTGGATAACTGATGATTGCTCTATTTATGTCATATGTTGACCTGTCTATTGATTTTTGCAGTATGGAGAAATTCTTCCCTCCTTCTGCTTCCTTGCTCTCTACAAACTGCGGAGGTTTTGCTTCTTTCCACTAAAGGAGACCACACAACAGACCACACTGAATAGCTTGCTCTTGCCCAAGCAGGCTGTTTTCCATCACTCCTTTGGATCTTTTGGTACATTTGGTTCCTTCTCGCTGGGTTGACCTTCTCTTTCTGTCAACCTGGAAAGTACTTACTTGTTTTCTGTGTCTTGGTTCAGGCATCTCTCTAGTTGGAAGACCCTCCACATCAAATTCCATGCCATTGCTTTATGTCACCTTGATTCATATCGTTTAACACAGATCACTCTGCAATGCTGCTTTCCGGTCTGTCTCCACACCTGCACTGTGAGCCCCCTACACATGTCTATCCAAAACACCCATACAACAGTGCCTGGTACTGTTTTCAAAAGATACATTCGTTGAATGAATGAACAGAACCCCCCATGGATTTCACAAACATTTGGCATCTTATCAAGCATGTATGCATGAGTATGCATAATGGTACCTGTGTAAAAAGAGGACCTTAAACGTCTGGAATGGATGGAAGAGAAGTATTTTTTTAAAGTGATTTTTTGGGTGTATATATTAGAGTGAAAAAGATTGTGAGAAGAGCATCAGTTGATCTGTAAGTTTGTGATTATAATAGGAGTAGGGGCTGAAAATATACGTGTTAATAGTGTTCTGTGAACTGACTTGGTGTGTGTGAGAGAAAGTACATTCGAATAAGGTTAGCTCAGCTATTAGACGCCACAGATCACTTTTCCTGAAGTCAAAGTAGCTTCATTATGTTCAGTTTCTGATCCCGAAAAAGACTTTCTGATTCTTGGTTAACCTCCCAGCCATGGGGTCCGGGGAGATGAGGAGGGATGAAAATGATGGAGGTCTGTGGGAGTGCCTGGCTTTAAATGAACGTGTGCGGGTAACACTGGACTGCTGCTTGGTGGGCTAAATAAAGTCAAGTCTCTTAGACTCAAACTGAGCCCAAATTAATACCCCCTCTCCTCCCCACCTGCCTGAGGGTGGGGTGGGATCAAGTGGTCACTTAGATAAGGTCCAACAAAAAGGAAAGAGAAAGAACGCAAATTAACCACCGAGAAGAGGACAAGGAGGAAGGGAGAAAGGTAACTGGGCAATCCCAGGGTGGCCATATGCTACCCGCCGGCAGAATGGTTTGACTTTGCAAATGATCTGGTTTTCTCTTCTGCTTGGTTTTTGGACCTCACAGCCTGCCTTCCCAGGTGCGCGGGCTGAGGCTGGGCTCGGGCGGGCTCCCCGCCTCTGCAGGGCCTCCCTCTGCTGCCCTCTGCCGGCAGGGAAGGCGGAGGCGGAGGCGCCGCCCTCTCGGCCCTCTCGGCCCGGGACGCGAGCCGCCACCCCCTCCTCTTTGCAACGAGGGGAAGCTGAGGCCTCTGACGCCTGCCAGCCCCTCACCCGAGGAGTCAAGAGACTGGGGCTGGGAGCAGTTGGTTTTGAGAAAGCGGCGCGCCCCACGAGGGGGATCCAGTTAGTCAAGCGCAGACCCCCACTCCCCAAAGCGGGCGCACCACGCCCTCCCTCCTGGCTCCAGGCCCTCCCTCTGCACACCACCCTCTGCGAGGGGAAAGGCCACCAGACTGCGACAGGTTTCTGACATTGCTTTCTTCTTGGAAATGGAAGCCCCCTTCCGGCAACGTGGCAGGAAAAGCGCTGGGCAGCCGGGCCGAGAACATTTCGGTGAGAGCAGGTGGAGGCCTGGGACCGGTGGCCGCGCAGGCAGGGCAGGTGGGCAGTGCAGCCCCGGCTACACCCGCTGAGCCCTCTTACCTGCTGTTGAACTTTTCAGGGTGTTTCTCTCTCATCACGTGGAATCTGTGTGCGATGGAAGCATCCTGAAAGGCAAAGGGACAGAAAGCAGATCCCTGGTTAGTGGTCCTGACCCTGCATAATGTGGAAGGAAGGGAAGCGAGCACACTCTCTCACCGAAATCCCCCAGATCTCACAGGGGAGACCAGGGAGGCCCCCACAGAGGCTGGACACCAGGTCCAAGGTTAGGGGCCAGTGCCCCCCATCGTTATAGTCTGCAATGTTCACCCTCTACCCGCCCGAGTTCAGGGAGAGCGAAAGGGGACGCGGCTGCCCTTTGGGGGCAGGGAGCGTGTCTGGGTCTGTGAGCAGTGAGAACGCAGAAGCCCACATGGGGCTGAGTGTGAGTGTTTGGAAATACCTCACCCTATTCACTCTTTAAAAAAACACTTTGTATTCTGGAATATTCATAAGAAGCTGCAAAAATAGTACCGAGAGTCCCTGTGTCCCTTTCACCCAGCTCCCCTCAGTGATAACATCTTACATAACTCTCTAAACCAGAAAACTGATGTTGGTAGATGCTGTTATATATTAACTCTTAATCATCCCTATCAGTAGACAGAATTGGTAGCATTGGATAACAGGCTTAGCAGATAATTAAAAATATATTTAAACTTCTGACTTCTGCCTCTTGATCACTCCATGGAAACAACTCTCCCCAAGGTCAGTAAGAGTCTCATTATCACATTCTACGGACACTTTGCTGTCCTCCTATTAGCACATTCCTTTGCTGCACTTTGGCCACCTGCTCCTCAGAACTCACAGTTAGGATAGTTCTCATGTCACCATGCTTCCGGGCTCTCCATGCTCGGAGCAGAACTTCACAGCCCTGAGCCCGTTCTGCAGCCTACACTCCGTGCCACGGGCCATCTTGAGTTCTCATAGTTGTTACTAGCATGTAGCTGCTGATGTCTCCACAGTGCATCACTCTAGAACCAAACCTGAATTTCAGTCCTAAAACTGAACTCATCTTTCTTCCTCAAATTTGGTCCTCCGCCCTTGTTAATGGTCTCCTTTTCCAGCAAAAGAATGTGCTACGCCCCGCCTTCGCCGCTCAGGCCTCCCCCCAGCACATCTGGGGGGGGGCGCAGGTGGTGGGTTTTAGAAATAAACAGGCTAATTGAACTAGGAATGGTGGGGGGTGGTGGGGGAGGGTGGGAGGAGAGGGGGTGAGAGGGGATGGGAGGGTGTGGGGGAGGGTGTGGGGGAGGGTGGGAGGGGAGGGGGTGGGGGGAGTGGCGACAGAACAAGGGAGCTGATTCAGATTCGTGCAGGGAAAAAAAGATACAGAAACGCATTTACTGGACTGTGTAGCTAAAAGAAAACTCAAATTCCACACAGTGAATTTTCAGCTAGTGCATATTAATTTCTTTTCTTGATGTGGAAATCCGACAAAAGAAAATTTCTGAAAAAATAATTTTTTTTTAACATCAGGAGGTGTAGCTCAGTGCAGAAGCTTATTTTGAGCATGTGCTGTGTGTGGGGAGTAAAATACAGGCTAAGGGTGGGGACAGAAAATCCAGAAGCAAGTTGGGGGCAAAGAGAAGCTTTTGTAATATTTGCACTTGGCAGAGAAGTAAACCCAGCTAGCAGGCCCTGCTGAAAGGCGGACAGGGCAAGTCAAGGATGTGGGCTTATTTTATGGTTGGCAAACACTCTTTGCTGAAACAATGTATTAGGAATTTAACATTTAAACTCTAGTTATTGATTTCTTTGTTAGTTTTTTAAGACACATCAAGAGTTGAAGTTTAGGCACCCCTGTGGACAACGGTGGGAGAGATGCAACACCCTGGGGGGGGGCCTCTGTCCTCTGGGCCTATCCAGCCTGCACAGCTTCTCCAGGCAGGAGCACTTCATGCCCCCAGTTCCCTCCTCTGAGCAAGTTTCGTGAACACTCTGAATAAGATTCATGTGACATCTGTCAAATGCTTCTTTAGAATTCAAGAAAACATTCTATCTACTTGTGTTCTTTTGAAGCAGTAATTTTCTTCTGTCAGGAAAAAAGAAAGAAGAAAGAAAAGAAGAAAGCAATCACATGTTGCCTGGCACGATCTGTACTTCACTATCCCCTGCCCCCAACGCTGTTATGACTGGCTCCTGGTTTTTTAATTCCCTGGGATATGTGCACAGGCCCCTGTCCTCTGTGTAGTTCCGATTATCCTTGTTTTTTTTTTTCTTCTTCATAACTAGGTTTTGCAAAGCTTCTTTTCACAAAGACCAGCCTTTACAATATTACTAGTTAAGCATGTGGTTCCTAATTTGACAATGTAATCCTGTGGTAAATACACAAAGTGGTCAGAGGGAGTGAGCAGGTCCTTTGCTGTTCGGTTTTGAAAAGGCAATGCTGGTAAAGACTCTTACCATGGTTCTCTACCTGGGGCTGAAAAAGAGAGGCAAGATTCACCTCTCTCCTCTTCTGGGCTTCTCTGTGCCAGGCCCTGAGCTGGCTGTACTTACATTCAGTAGTGACTTCATTTAAATTTTAGAAACCAGTGCTACCATGGTTCCAACCCTTTCTTGTAATAATTCCAGCAAAATGAGACTTCAGTTCGGACGGTGGGGGTGGAGGTGGGAATTGCACCCCTATTTCTGATGGCCTCATTCTCCAGGGTCCTTTCTATGAGGTGTGGGGTGAAAAGGAGACAAAAGCAGTATGGACACATGGCTACTCTTTCCTGAACTAAAATTCCCAAGTGCAGAGTTGGACAAAAGATTCCTGTGCCCCTTCCAAATATAAGCAGTAGTCATTTGGACTCTGAGCTATTTGGATGTCTAGGCCAGTCCCGTCCAATAGAAATAAATTAAAAAAATTTTAGTAGCCACATTAAAAAAAGTGAAAAGAGGGCTTCCCTGGTGGCGCAATGGTTGGGAGTCCACCTGCCGATGCAGGGGACACGGGTTTGTGCCCCAGTCTGGGAGGATCCCACATGCCGCGGAGCGGCTGGGCCCGTGAGCCATGGCCGCTGAGCCTGCGCATCCGGAGCCTGTGCTCCGCAACGGGAGAGGCCACAGCAGTGAGAGGCCCACATACTGCAAAAAAAAAAAAAAAAAAAAGTGAAAAGAAACAGATGGAATTAATTTTAATAATACATTTCAATTCACAAATATTATCACTACAACATGTAGTTAATCTAAAAATCACTGAGATATTTAAAATTCATTCAGACTACATTTTTGAAATTTGATGTGTACTTTATACTTATAGCATCTCTCAACTTAGAGTAACCCCATGTCAGGTACACAATAGCCACATGTGGCTAATGGCTACCATATTGGACAATGTAGGTCTAAGTCACTTTGGCAATCTATGGAGATAAAAAAAAAACAGAAAGGAGACAATAAGACACATTATTTGGAATTTGGCTTGTTCTGAAAAATGACAGCAGATTGGGGAATGAAAAAGAGTGTAGACCCCTTGTCCAAGACACCTCTCAGTGGGGCCCGGCCCATAGATCAAGTACCTTCCTGGCTCTCATAGGTGACAGACAAGAACCTGAGGCTGAAGGAATTTAAAAGCTGCAGGGAAATGATGACTTTCTGACAAATTCCCTAATGGGTCTACCATTGTGGAAACTTAAAGTCTAATAAGTACAGAATGTCAGGTAGAAGATGATGTGTGGGTTAGTGTAATGACTCTGGCCTCTCCTTGGCCCCTGGGTTCCCCTAGCATCAGAAATAGATTTCATTGACTCAAGGGATTAGCTGTTTACTCATCCCATTAAGGCTCAGTGAAAGCAGAGCCTTTGAGGTGTTCAGAATTACATATACCACAGGAATTATTTTGCAGTCCCAAACTTCCTGTCACTGATACCTGGCCATCCTGACATTTCTGCAAATCCAAAAATAAAGAGCAGGGATGAGGAGGCCAGAGAAGTCAGAGGAAGTAGCGTCCTGAATGACTGTGTTTAAAATCTCCTGCCAGTGGGTGTTATCAGGTCTCAGGGCTGAGAAGGCCAACAATCTCAGCTCTTCGTTGGTGGGGAGCTGGCGTGTCTTGTGGGTGATGGGAATGTGGTGACAGTGAGGCCTTTGTCACTCTCTCATTAGGGTAGGAGTCTGCCCTGCTTATCCCTCCATCTATTAAATGGGTTCTATTGGCACCAAGAGGAGTGAGTGAACTCATCAGGGTGAATTCTTTACCACCTAGGGACACCACGGCAGCGGTCATTGTCACCACCTTTACAAGTGCAGGGCAGCAGACATTTGATATCAGTAAGATATTCCGGGTCCTCCAAAAGAGGCGAAGACTGCAGCTCTCTTTGCCAAAGGAGTCCGACTCTAATCATCTTAAGGAAGTAAAACTGGGGGTTGGTTTACATACTACTTCTCCTCTTACAAAGTTTGGGAAGTCAAATAGGGAGCAAGAGCTTCTGCAAATGTCAGCCCCAGATTCTCTTAGGGTTACATGTTGGCTACTTGTTTTCTCAAGAATTTCCCTTTCCAGCTTTTAAAGAGTGAGCACACAAACCCTGCAAGCATTTTATTGAGACAAGGCTAAGGGTACACCAGTGAGATAAAAACAATCCTGGTTCTTCACCGCTTTGCAATAAAATATTAAACACGCACAAGCTAAAGGTATATGAAAAAAAACAGAAAGATTGTGTGAAGTTCTTCATAATTTGAAAGATGAACCGATTGGATTATTATAGGTCAGCCCAGGGCAAATAAATATCTTGACCGCTGAAAGAAATGGAGAATCTGTTCCTATGCATTTCCTTTTTTTTTTTTTTTTTGCCGAACCACGCAGCATGCGGGATATCTTAGTTCCCCAACCAGGGATAGAACCCGAGCCCCCTGAAGTGGAAGCGTGGAGTCTTAATCACTGGACTGCCAGGGAAGTCCCTCTATGCATTTCCTTGGGGGACAGTTAGTCTGTATTCTTTCCTTCTTTTCCTCCCTCCCTCCCTCCCTCCCATCCCCCCACCCACTTCTGTCTTATTTGTAAGAATGAATTAAAACCACGCCCAGTTTTTGGCTTTTGGGGTTAGGGCTTGGTTATCTAGTTGAGGGGAAGCTGTATCTTCCTTTCCGGCATGGTCATCCATTTGGTCAGCAATACCAAGTGAATGTCATTTTTTGCATATGGCGCTTGGCACAGATGGACGGGAAGGCCTTAGGAATCCTGTTTTTTCTGGCAGCCAGAGCTGGGCATGTTAAGAAACACTTGCAGCTGAGGACTCTGAAGGCAGCCGTGGGTGTAACCTGCCATCTGGAAGCTCCCAGGCAGATCACCCAGTCTTGCGGCTCAGCTTTCACTTCTGGCCCGTGGCTTACAGGTGCTGCTTTCCCCTCCTTTCCATCTTTTCTCTCTGTCATCTACTTCAGATCTGGGTTCTGCCCCTGTGAAGAACCACTTCCTTTGACCATCCTTCTCTGTTCTAACGGGTTGTCTTCACTCACTGAGGACCTGACTGGGACTGTCTGCATCAGAATTATCTCAGGGGCTTGTTAAAAATGCAAATTCCCAGACCTTGCCCGGACCAACTGAATCAATGTGAATCAGGATCTGTCACGGGGCTGGAATCTACATTTCTGACAAAGGGTACAGGTGGGGTATAGGCGAGCCATCACGCACTAGATTTTAAGGCCCGCCTCCCCACCCAATGCTGCTGCATTCGGCAGCATGGAGATGGAGGGCTGTGCAGAGGCTGCATGGCTCATGGTCCATAGCTAGGTGGGCACTGGAACTCGACTCTAGTGAGTCCCGGCTCTATCACTCACCAGCTTGGACTGGTCTCTATCCTTCTAAGCTACAGATCCTTCTTACAAAATGTAAAAGGGCAAGGGCTGTACCCACCAATAGGGACACTGTGCCTGGTGTGCATTAGGTACTCGGTACACGTCAGCAAGTTATCCTCTGGTTTAGGAAAAAGGACACGAGTTTCTGTCACACTGTAAAGATGGGAAGCCCGTGCTCCAGAAGTCCTCTGACCCCCCGAACACCTGTCAGTCAAGTGTGATTTGCAGAAGCTGAAGACTGCGTGAAGTGGAACCTGAGCAGGTGGTCCCAAAGGAGAGGGGCTTTTGAGCCAAGAAAAGGAGGGAGAGGTCTGCCTAGGTCACTGGGGGAGGAGCTGGAGGGTGCTAGGGAAAGACGTCTTCCCCCATGAGGGCAGGGGAGCTGGGGAGATAAACCATATCAGGACAGCAGAGACCCCTGAATATGTTTCTCGTCCGGCGCCCCCATCCTCTCAGAGCCTGATCACGGGTCCAGCAATGCCTCTCTTTTCTGTTTTAGTAATAGAAAAAGAGGGCGGCATTGGGAGTCAGAAAATGAAGGCAAATCCCTTAGTCTAATCCTCTATTTCCTCACTTACAGAGCGGAGGTAGTACTGCCCTCCAGTGTAATCATAAGAATCAAAATATCTGTGAATATGGTAAATTTTAAATCCCATAAATATAAGGTATTATTATTATTCCTTTTCTCTTTCACGGTTCTCCTTTTAGTTTTCTTATTAAAAAACAAAACCCTTTCCTTAACCCTGCTCTTCCCTCAAACTACCTATCATTTCTCTTTTTCTTTCCTTTTTTTAAACCACCAACATTTGCAAAAGAGGCACAGGTTATGATTGAGATGATCACACAGTCTTGGTCTGGAGGGGCTTATGTGCATATGAAACTGGGCAGCATACTTCCCAAGACAGGGAAGCAGAGAGGAAGGAACCTGGCTTTGGAGCAAGGTACAGTGTGTGTGCACTTCCTCGCCCGGTGTCCTGAGGCTTCGTCTGTAACATGCGGATGGTGGGGACAATAATACCTGCAGGATTGCTGTGAGGACTAAAGTCTAGCACCATGGAGAGCACACAGTAGGTGCTCAATAAATGCTAGTATCTTTGTTTCACCTTCCTCCCAAACCCCAGTTCTATTTATGGAAATGATCGATAACTTTTCTCCCCAGTGCTGTCCCCAACAGTTTGGGCAGCAGTGTCCACCCCATGCACTTTGGACCAGAAGCTGAGTTCAACAAGACCAACCAACTGAGCTGTGCTACATGTGATGGGAGCTAGGGGGAGAAAGAGGAACGTGGTGCTGTCCTTCTACCGTCTGTGTGTCTGTGTGTGTATGTGTATGGGTGCATGCGTGTGTACGTGCATGTGTGTGTGTTTCAGGAGGGCTGAGACAGGCACAATAAAACAACCCCTTCAATCTAAGGCAGAGGTGAGCACAGAGGGCTGTGGGAGCACCAGGGGGAACACAGAGCTCAGCCTGAGGGGTCAGCCAGAAGGAGATGCCCCAGAGGCTTATGAGCACTTGGACTGTGGGGAGTGGGGCTGGGATGAGGGGAGAGAACAGGAGAGATGGAATTCTGAGAGCTAAGCCAGTAGAGCCAGCTTGAGACAACGTCTTCCCTGGAGGATCAGAATTTCCAACTCCGGAAGCTCACCTCAGAGTCTCCTTCTGACCTCAGCCCTTGGTTATTTCTTGGTGTCGCTTTTCTTTAACTACTTCAAATTATCCAAAGGGTAAATAGGTCTTTTGAAAAATGTGCTGTCTTTTGAATGATAGGGGCAGGAGCTTCCTCCATAATCATGGGCGGGGCTTGGTACGATAAGGATGTCCATGCCCAGGCCAGATGCAAGGATGCCTGGACCTGAGTCGAGGCTGGGGGCAGCCGGGATACGTAAAGAATAGGGACCCAGAGGGGACAGTGGAAGACTAGAACCCTTCCTGCCCACCCAGGCACTTGTCTCCCGTTCAGAAAAGCCATCCCTGGCCAACTCACCACGCCGATGGAGAAGTAGTTGTTCATGATGTTGTACGGGACCTGGTCCCCATTCTCCACCTCCTCTCTGGGGATGACTTCCAGATGCCAGCGGTCCAGCATCACCAAGGGGCTCTGCTCAATGTCCTTCAGGATTTTTGTCAGGCTGCCCCCTTCATAACCTGTGGAGCACAGCACTGCATTTACCCCCAGAGCAGAAAGGCTAAGTTGCTGCTGATGCAAGTCAGGGCAGGGAACCCCTTGGGCATCTGGGGCCAGGAGACTCCCCAGTGTGTCTGTGGGCCAGAGCCACTCGGGTTCCCTGGGCCACAGAGAAGGAGAGGACAATATGGAGTATTAGAAAGAAGCTGGGGTGATCTGGAAGCCAGAGTAACAGGGGTAGGGCTGGGTGCTGGCCAAAGATGGGCAGGCCTGTGTAGCTGAAGTGAGCCCTGGGGAATTGGTGGGTTGGATGGTTGGGAAGCTGCACGTGGGAGAACTAAGGATCTGTTCCAGGACTGTGTCATGATGGAGATGGACAGCACCGTAGGCAGAATTTTAAGACGGTCCCCACATTTCCTGCCCCCGGGGTATATATACCCAGCAAACCCCCAGGACCTGTGGATAAGATGGGGTAGTCACGGTCATGATTTGGTATATTACATGGCACAGCTGACTTCAAGAAAGTGAAATTATCCTGAGTGGATCTGACCTAATCAGGTGCGTCCTCAGAAAGACTGGGCTTTCCCTTAAGAAATAGATTTGAAACTTGAGAGGGATTGGAATTAAGGGGGATTCTCTTCTGCCAGCTTTGAAGATGGAGGGATCCATCGGGCAAGGAACACGGGAGGTCTCTAGGATCTAAGAGTGGTCCCCGCTGACAACCAGCACGGAGACAGGGACCTCAGTTCTACAACCACAAAGAACTGAATTTGGCCAACAACCTGAATGAATTTAGAAACAAATTCTTCCCCCAGAGTCTTCAGAGAGGAGCGCAGCCTGTTCAGTGCCCTGATTCTACCCTGTGAGGACCTGAGCAGAAGACCCAGTCACGCTGTTCCAGGACTTCTGACCTACAGGACTGTGAGCTGATAAATGGATGTTTTAAGCCTCTATGTTTATCATCATTTGTTACTATTACATAGTAGCAATAGAAAATTACTGTAGCAAGTGAACTGTAAGTGAGAAGTTAGTGGGAGAGACCATCTTTTCTTTCAAATAACACTTCCATGTTCCTGCTTACCTTTGGGGCAACCCTGAAGAGTATTTTCAAGTTGTCAGGGCTCTAGTCCGCTCCTTAGGGGATGCCTCACAAGACAGCAGTACCAACAAGGTAGCTGAGGGCCTTGATGCTATCTGGGAGCACAAGGCTGTGTGAAATGTGTGCCTCGCTATGCTGCCTAGATGCCCAGAGCGTGGGGCTACAAGTTTGCCCATCCCCTCTTGAAAAGAGGGTCCTTCCCTAGCCCAGTGTGTGGTTGAGGACCCTGGGAGCTCTGCCCACGCCTGCCAACTTCCTTCTAGGGCTGGCTCCTGCTTGCTCTGCCTCTGCCCTCCAAGCACGCACACTGCCGACCTGGTCTTGGATCACGCTAGGAATTGATCCACCACGTGGAGTCTCACCTCAATTCTGCCTGCCAGGCTGATCTGTCTGTTCCATGTGCTGACCAGAACCTCTCCACTCTCTGGAGCATGCCCAGCTCCACAGGGGCTGTTGCAGTTTGCAAGGTTCTCCTTAGCTCCTGCCCATTGCACTGTAAGCTGGTACCATTCTGAGTTCCCCCCTTCGGTGAATTTCAAAATGAGGGCCCCTGGCCATGGGGCCCTAAGATGATCTGGACGCCCCTAGTAGCTGGCGAAGTGGCTTTTCGGTCTGCATTCTGAATCCTAATTCAGAAAATCAATAATTTGGAGAGGGGGAATTTCATGCAGAAAAATCCCTAAGTGAGCCCTACTGGGATGAACCCTGGAGGGGAGACAAAGGAGATTCTACCCTGAAGTTGACTTGTTCTACTGGGGGAGGCAGACTCGAAGCTGAGTTTCAGGCTGACAGTAAATCTAGTGAGGGGTAGACACAGGCGTTGGCATGGAATGGAGATTAAAGAAAAAGTGTGGAGTAGGGATGATCCCAGAGTTGAGTATTACTCCGTGGAATGTGATCCCTAAGAGGGAAGTTCAGCCTAGCTCTGCAGAGCCTCCCTGTAGATTGGAGCACTCGTCTCCAGGGTAAGGCCTCTCCCATGCAGACTCACCCCCTCCCCAGCGGAGACAGCGGGCCAGGTCATTTCCCGTTCCAAGAGGCAGGACAGCCACGGGTGGATGCTTTGCGAAGTTGGCCTTATCTGCAACCCATGAAGAGGAAGAGAGAACCATATGCCATGTGATTATAGAAGGCTCAAGTTGTCTAGTTATCCCTGATCTAATGCTTGAAGCCCTCCATAGCATTGTTTGAATTCTTCTCCTGATGGGGAACTCACTACTTCCTAAAGCCATCTTTTCCATCTGCAGTGTGTTAACCACTGCAAAGGAATCTTTCAAATTGAGTTAAATCTGTCTCCCTGTAACATTCACCTGTTTATCCTCATTTCATCCTAATTCTTTCCTTTGGGGTGAAAGCATATAGCTCAAAAACATTAGTTTGCACAGTTTTAATCTTTAATGATAAGTAGCATTTACCCCATTTATCCCTCAGACAGACCCTGCAAGGTATTATCATTCTCATGGATGAAGGAATGGAGGTTCACAGAGGGAAAGTCATTCCACAGCCAGGATCCAAACCCAGATCTCTGTGACTCCAAGTCCATGCTCCTCCTTTCTTCAGAGGCCAGGCAGGTGCATAAATAGTAAAACAGGTGGGTCTGAGATATCAGAAAATGGTGGGGCACTTGGAAAACTGAAGATGCCTCGCCTCAAGTCATTCAGGCTCAGAAGCTTAAAAATAACACTGTGTCTAAGAAGCAAAACCCCCAGGTGTTATTTGGCACCCGGGTACCAGTTTGCCACTTCCACCACCTCCCAGACCTGCTAACACACCGATTCCTAATCCTGTCTCCTATGATGGTTGTAAAGGAGCATCAGACTGAACGGTTAGAGAAAGCACATCAGAACATGTATGTTTTAATCTGGCTGTAGGTCTACAGCAGCATGTTGGCTGAGCTGGAAAAGCTGAAGGAAGCCAGACACCCACTGGGCTCCGGAGGACACCACTTACATAAACCTCAGTGCACCAGGTGCCGGGGGAGGATGTGAGGGATGTGACTGGGAAGCATGGCTGGGGGTTGAGTGGGGAGTGATGCAAGAATCAGCATCCTGCGTGAAGCTCATGCTAGGGCTGCCCCAGCAGAACAGGTGTTCATAGATGCCCCAGGTAATCGGACTCATGCCGGAAGTGGCTGAGCTTAGGCAAGACTCAGGGCTGAGACTACCACCAAGAGGGTTGAGATGGAGTGAATCACTGGACTCTCTCATTTTCTCAGAACACACAGTCCACATTCATGCCTCCCTGCCTTTGCATGTGCTCTTCCCTTTGCCTGGAAGGCCCTTGTTTGCTTAGGTCTGCCCCTTCTTCTGTGGTTCCCATCCCAGCAGATCAACCATCCTCACGGTGCTGAGGCTAGAAACATGGATGTCATTCTAGATTTCCCCTTCACACACCTATTTCTATATGCTGTCCCACATCCATTTACACATCAATTTCTATATGCTATCCCCTTAATAGCTCTCCAAGCAATCTCTCCTCTCCATCCCGTGGTGATGGCTGAGTTCTCGTACGGTATGATTCCTTCCCACTGCTATTGCTGCAGCAGCCTCCTCTCTGCCTTCTCAGCCTCCAGTGTGTTCTCCACACTTCTACCCCGGCAGGAAATCCTTGAACCATGAGCCTGATCACACTAGTCCACTGCTTTCCCTTCTGCCATGGCTCCCACCACCCCTTAGCACGCAGCGAAGCCCTTCCTGGCTCTGCCTTTCTCTCTAGCCTCATCCTTCTCATGTCCTGCCTCCCACTCGACACGTCAACCTTGCTGAAGTGCTTTCAGGGCCTTAAACCACAAGCTCTCTGCTGCTCAGCACAGAGCCCTCCCTGGTTGCCCTAGTCTGGACCTGGTGCCTCTCCAGAGTGTTTCTTTAGTACCAGGGGCGATCTCATCACACTGTCTTGTAACTGACTACTTGTTTGTTCCCCAAATGCCCTGTAACCTCCCTGGGGGGTGTTCCCCAAATGTCCTGTAACCTCCCTGGGGGAACTATATCTCATTCATCATAGTATCTCCACACATATTTACTGAAGGCCAAGGTGCCGTGTTAGGTGTTCTGGCTCTAATAGCAGGCAAAAAAGCCATGGCTCCGGCTCTCATGGTACCTACAGTTGAGAGGGAGAGACAGCTATTAACAAGGTCTTCATAGAAATGATGCATAATTTCAGATTCATACTGGGAAGGAAAGGAGTGTGGTCCTGTAATGAGTTATCAGGGAAGGCTTCCCTGAGGAAGCCACACTTTGGCTGAAATCTGAAGTAGAAGCGGACCAAGCAAAGGCCAGGGGAGCAGAACAGACAGGCCCTGTGGTAGAGGGACACTGGTGCCTTCAAGGGTCTGAGAGAGGGACTGGGTGTCTGGGTCTAGAGGGAGAGGATGGCGGTAGGAAATGAGGCTGGGTGGGCAGCTGCTAGACCACTTAGGGCCTGTGGAGCATCTGAGGAGCTTTTACCTTTATCTAAGAATCCTGGGAAGCCACTGATGTGCTCTGCACACATCACAACCCCACTGACATTCAGGAATGACCACTCTGGCTGTAGCAGGACAGCACATCAGAGAGGGGACCGAAATGGGGCGGCGAAGAGCACAGAACAAGGGCTTCAGCCTCTCTCTCTTGAATGAATGAAAACTGTGCAGTTACTCCTTTTACCCTTGTTTTTTAATCTTTGGGCCACTAACCTGTGAAAAAGCAGATCACCTCACATGACCTTTCTGTTCTGGGGAGCGTATATCACCTGTGTCCTCTGCAGCTGAATTTTATAAAACTTATCAGCAAAGCCTACTTTCTCCTTCCGGATGGAGAGGGACCCGTGCGAGCAGCTCCAGGTACTGCAGCCATCCACCGCCTGCTGATCAGCTTCTCCTTCCTCGGCTCCCAGAGGACGCCTCCCTCCTCCCACAAACAACTCCAGAGCCCGAGGTGACAGGAGAGCGTGGGTGGCTGCTTGGCAGGGCTGTGTCCATGGAAACCAAAGTGCCTGTGGGGGAGTAGATGTGGCAGGTGTGCGGGGTGCCGGTCCCCCTCCTCCAGGTGGTCTGCTTACGACCCCTGGGGGCCCAGGCTTCTCCACCCTGTTCAGGGTCTATCCTGGCCCATCCTTGACTCCTTCCTTTCCCTCATCTCCCACATGAAGTCTGTCAGCAAAGATTGCAGGCTCCACCTTCAAAAGATATCTGACTCCTTCTCGCCACCTCCTCTGTCACTACTGTGGTCCATGGCACAGTCCCCCTCCTTGGATTACTGCAGGAGCCTCCTAACTGGTCTGCCAGCTTCCACCCTTTTCTGTTTCTGTAATCTGTTGTGTCCCTGCTTTGCTTAAAACCATCCAGCATCTTGGGACCTTCCCAGTACGAAAGCCACATTCCGTATAATGTCCTACATGTCCTAGTGACTTGGCCCTGCATTATCTCTGCTTTATCCCCTGCCACTCTACCCTCACGCACTACACCCCAGGCACGCTCTGTAGCCTTCCCACTGCCTTTGGCAGCCTGGCCTGCTCCTACCTCAGGGCCTTTGTATTTGCTGTTCCTTCCACCCTCAGGTATCCGCAAGGCTCACCCTCCTCCAGGTCTCCATGCAAATGTCAACTGCTCCTCAAGGCCTTCGGAACCACCTGGTCTTAGATTGCAACCCCACTCCCTCCGCCGAGCTCCCTTTCCCCCTTTTCTGCTGTTTTTTTTATCACCTTCCAACACACTGTATGTTTCACTTATTTGTTTATTGCCTGTCTCTTCCCTCTAGAAAGGAAACTCCGTGAGGGTAGGATATTTGTCCTCTGTTCACTGCTGCCTCACCAGTGCCTTGAGGGGCGCTGGGCATCTGGAGGTGCACAGCTAGGATTTGGGGAATGAAGGACGAAAAGACCAAAGCGGCGCAGGCCTTATCGCTCTGGGACATCTCGGACTTTGATGACCGCCCTCCCCAGCAATACCCCTGGCTGCTTTCCTAGGCTTATGTCCCATGTCCCAGTGTTCATCTGGGTGCTCCAGGGTTAGATCTTGAATATACCTTGTCCGAGAATTTCAGAATCATTCTCCATCATTTACTGGTGGTGCTGTGTCCAAGGACCCACAGATCCAGGCAGAGCTGGACTAGACCCAGGCCTCCTGATACCCAGCCTGTGCCCTCCCTACCCTCCCTATAGCCTTTTGGATCTCGGCCTACTGGACGCAGCCCACCGTGGCACTTCTTTGCTTGCATTCATCTGTGCTTTCTAGGTGTGCTTTCTGGGCTCCAGCTGCGGATGTTCATCTCAAGGTGTCTTGCCCCGGGCTATGCATCAATGCTTAGTTCTTTGGCCTTTATCCAGCACCCTGGACCTGCCTGGAGTCCCAGCCCTGCTCCTCTTCCCCGCAACCCGCCATCTGGCCTGTCCTGCAACTGCCTAAACCCCGGCCATGACAGCTATTTATGAAGCAAGGCCTGAAACTAAGCTGTTACATCTGTACCAGTGGGAATCCTTCCATTATCTTCTTTTATTCTTTTTTCCACCCAAAGTAGATATTTAGGCAAGCACTGGTCTAAGAGTAGAAACAAGGATGAACAAAACATGGCTCCGTTTCTCCTTCTTGTTGATTGCCTTCCTCTGACTTTAAATATATTTAGGATAAGTCAACTGCAAAGGCCCTTCCAGCCATTCTTACCAATGCAATCCAAAATCCAGCCAACTGTCCCATCTCCTCCGCAGGCCAAGACACGGAAGTCTGGAGTATCACGGAAAAAGTTGAGTCTGGAAGTAGAAAGGCCAAAACGGTTTTGTTTACAGGCTGACCTTTGACACTCCTTGAGTCAGAGTCCCCCGCCCGCTCCCTTCCCTGGGAGTATGTTATGACCTTGATTCCTTTGGGGGTTGAAAGGGTCACTTAATGTTATGAAACCAGAACTTAACTAAGCAATGCCATTGAGTATGAATCCCATGGAGCCGTCTTTGTATAAGGAGATGCTGACTCGACATTCAACACAGAAAATGGTTTTCTAGAAATTCTCTACGATTTAGGCAGAGGAGTCCATAGTTTGCTTATTTCGACACTGATACAACTAACCCCCAGCATTCTGACTCCTCTCCGGCTCTCTCACCTGCTCTGTCCTCACGACCTCCCCTTTAAGTCAGATGCACTGAGCTGGCTGCATCCTCACCCCACCCAGACCTAAGTGGAGGGAGCACCATCTCCCCTCGGGGGTCTTAACCCTCTAGAGCAGGGCTCTTAACCTGAAGTGCATATCTAAGGGGTCTGGGAGCAGAAGCCAGAGGGCCACGAACTGGAAGAAAATGTTACACTCTAACTTCCCTAAAGCTCTAAGTGAACTTTAGCATTTCCTTCAATTATGTATGTAGGCCACAAATCACAGAGGTATTAACAATACCTGTGACTCTGTGAAGCGGCCGAAATCACAGGTATGTCGATGTTTTACTACAGCTGTGGCAGACATTTTATATCACTTCTGCTCATCGCTGCTTTTAATTTACAATAGCTACTAGACCTGTCTCTGGAACTTGGTATATAATGTCTTAGTAAATCACATATATTCTCCTATCACAAATTTGTTTTTAAACCTTTTGATAACTGTTCTTTTCCATATAATGAGTTTCCCTGTTACTCCTACATATTTCATTGTATACATTAAAAAATATTATCTTAATGTTAAGAAGTGGTCCGTAGACTTCATCAGACTGCCAAATAGGTTCCTGGCGCAAAAAAGGTGAAGAACCTCCGCTTTAGCACAGACATGACCTGTGGAGGCCTTGAGGTGGGGCTTGAGAAGCTGAAGCTCAGTATTTCCTCTTTGCCCTGCACAGTGATCTGAGAAGATCCCTTCTGAGTCACCAGTGTATGCGTGGGCAAATTAACATCCCCTTCCCTCTCTTTCTCTTGCAGAATTCTGCTCTCCTGGTATGAAGTGGGTTCTGAATGGAGGCTCACTTCAGCTAGACAGCCTGTCTGATTACAGGCTGACATGTACAGCACGGAGAGATACTCAGGGCACAGTGGCTCTAGAAGTAGCCACCAGGCTTGTCATCCTGGGCAAAACCAATTGAGAATAGATGCAGTTAAGTGAGTACTGTCTGTATTCAAGTATTAAAATGCCCTAAAAGAGAGCCGGCTGGTAAAGGTATTTGTGGGCTGCCGCTCAGTCACAAGTCACAATGGAGCAGTAATTGGCAACCATGGTGACCGTGATGGTACGCGCAGCCGTACGGGTGGGCTCTATTTTGAAGTCAGTTTTACAGGTAAGTCACGGCAGAGGTGCTGAATCTACATTCGTGTTTCTTTCCCCTTTAGTGGGTCTTGCACCAACGTTGCCTTAATAATAGCTTTGTGTCAAACCAAAGACAGGGACAGAGTTCCTTTTTAGAGTCCTTACTCCAGCCCCTATTAAGGTCTTGCTGAGCCCAAAGTAGAAATGCAGGTTCAGATGTTGGGCAAAGCAGCTGTGTGTTGGAAAGCCCAGCCTAGCAGGTGCCAAGTCTGAGGACCTGGCACTGAGATAGCTTTGGGCTGGCTGGCAGATGTCTCTAGTGCACTGTCTCTGGCTGGTAAGAAGGTACCAGTCTTTGGGTACCTTCCAGCCCTAATGCTGGAGGGGCCTCTGATTACAGGGCTCATCATGTCCGCCACCAGCACAAGGACCAGCTCCTCCCGTAGACCTTGCGTTGCGCTGCAGAGGGGCTGCCTTGTCTCCTCTCATTGTTCCCCGTCTCCCTGACACTTTGCTGATGAGCAGGGAAATGGCCAATAGGCAAATGACAGGAGGAGAAGGGCCAGGGGGAGCTTAACAACGTCTAACTTGGATGATTCAGGAAAAAAGTGATTTCATTGAACAACCAATTGTCTTGATCCTTAAAGGCCCCCACAACAGAACATGCAGTGGAACTCTAAGTCAGCTGTACAGATTTCTGAAACACACACAGACAGTGGTAAGAAAACTCTTTCCTTCTCCCTGATAATTCAGTATGAAGATACCAGCTAATACGGCCTTGCAAATAAGTTAAAGTAATCTACCAGCCCGCCCTTCTTGTCAAGCCAACAAATGACATATGCAATTTCTCCCTCTTACAAAATCAACAACTTTTTCTGGGATAAAGTACAGGAGGCTACTTCCCAGAGTTAGCCATAACGGGTGATCCTGAGTATCTCCAGGAGGAAGTAAGAGTAGATATGAGGAAAAGAGAAAAGGAGTGAAATGGCAGGAAGGACAAGTCCACCGATGAAAGAGACAAAAAAAAAACGTGACCCCAAAAGCTATCTTCTTTAGAGATCTAAGGGCGTGGGGGAGAAATAAGAAGTAAAGATCATATCTCCATACCCTGGAGTAGGCCCCCCATTGTCCAGGTTGAAAACTTGTTTGGGGTTGAGCAGATAGTGGAATTTCCGAAGAATTCTATGGAAAAAAAAAGAGAGAGAGAGAGAGAGAGAGAGACCAAGACAGAGAAGGGGAATGTCATTGTGAGAAGTCACAGGAGGGCAAGTACCTCTGCAGCCCATTGATGGTGGGAAAGTGGGTGCATTTATACCCAAGAGGGGAGAAGAGTGCATGCAGGCCCTGCAGACCCTGAAGTCCCAGGTCTGGCTGGCCTCACCCATGCCCTCACCCCATTTCAAGGTCTTCCCCACCATCCAGCACTCCAGTCTCCAACCCCAGGAGTAGCACCCCTTGCACAGAGGACAGGACAGAGCAACCCGGAGAACAGAATTTCCATTCTCCTAAAGACTTCTCCTTCATGGAGACCTTCTCCCAAATGTTCCGTATGTTCTAGGTAGGATGATTCTGCTCTTTGTGGGCTAGACAAAGGCACCAAGGGACCCTCTAAGGAAAGGTCCCCCAAATCCTGGGATCAGGAGGACACGCAGGACGTGGGGTTGGGGCAGAGGAGGGCTGGGGGCAGTGACCACATCTAGGCTTGGTTTCAAGGCTCCAGCTTGAGGCTAATCAGGTCAGTTCAGGAGGGGTGCTCCGCCCCTAGGACTGGGGTGGGGACTCTCATAATTCTTGCTTAAACCCTGCTTATTATTTTTTAAAACCTGGATTCCAGATCACCCTGCCCCAGAGCTGAACACTGGGAGGCAGAGCTGCTCTGCTCCTTGCCACCCCTCCCCTCCCCTTCTCCTGGGGCTTCCCACTGACTGGGCGTTTCCTTCACTGATGAGACGGGTGCCCTGCTTTCTCAAGGGTGGGATAGGCCAGGAGGTCTCAACCAGGTGCCTCTGCCACGTCTCTTAAATCAAGAAAAGACTTGCAAGGCTGGGAAGTTAACGGACGTCTCAGAACTTGGTCTGATTCTGGGAACCATAATAATGGCCCACGTGACAGGCCCTAGGCTAGCACTGTGTCTATTTTAATGTTCACGACACCCCTGTGGGAGGAGAAACGATTATTACCTCCGTTTTACAGGGAGGAAACCAAGGCACAAGGACATTAAGTCCCTTGGACCAGGTCATCAAGCGGTCTGTGGTAGGGTTGGGATTGGACCACAGGTCTGCCATGTCCACAGCCCCCTTGGTTACAGTTGGCCTAGCCTCTCCATCTCGAAAAAGAAGAGAACATACCTTTCTCCTTGTCTCCCTCCACTCTTGGGGTTCACCAAAACCAGCAGAGGGTGGGTACCCGGGGTGGGGATGATCTTATACTTAAAAGGCAAAAGAAAAAGAAATTAGCTCTGTTTCAGCCAATAGGAAGAATGCGATGAGAGTGGATGCTAAGGCAGCTGCTGGGAGAGAAGCAGCTCCAGGCACGGAGGAGAGGAGGTCAGGAGGCAGTAAGGTGCTGGTCCACTGGCTGAGTTTTCTGAGGGATGAAACAGCTGAGTGTCTCCAGCCTAATGGCCTTTAAGTAGTGTTAATGGTGACAAGCGTTTGAAGTTGGGATCAGAGATGGGGCAATGGCATTACAACTTCAAATTACTCACAATGGTGTGGCATTGTGCCCACAGCACGAGATTAGATTTTGTGAGGGATACAACTGATCATGATCTTAAAAGTCAGGGCCATCCGGCCTACACCTAAATAAAGTAACAGCCATGGAGTTAACTATACTTCCACCCCAGTACCTTCCATATCCACATTTCCAGCCCCCATTTTCCTCCTGAGCTCTGGTTCCACATTTCTCACTGTCCAGGGGGTACATTCAGCCAGATGTCTCACCAGAACACGGTCCAAACCTGACCTATCTTCTTTCCCCACAAAACTGGCCCTCTCTCCTGGCTACTGTTATTACTCATCCAGGCATACAGGGAAGACCCTGTCCTGCCAATTCTTTCCCTGGAATGTCTCTTTATCTCCAGCAGCTGCCACAGTGCCCACACTGCTCGGGCCTTGCCCACCTCAGGGGAAGTCCTGTATGCTGCCCCCATGCAGTTCCTTCCCAGGACATCACTAGTCATACCACTCCTGCTCAGAAACCTTTAAAGACATCTCGTTACCCAGAGGATAAAATCCAGATCTCCTAAGCTGGCATGCAAGGCATTTAAGTGCAGCCCCAATCTACTGTTCTCTCTTAATTACTCTAACCTTCACTGCAGTTCCAGCCAAGCCTGGCTCGTACCTTCTAGAGAGTTAATTCCCATCCTTTGGGGCTGCTCACACTGGTTTCTTCTCCTCCTGAAATGCCCACTTCCTTCTTTGCAACCTCTTAAAAAAGAACTCCTCACTCTCAGGGCCCGATTCAAGAGCTACTTCCTCTATGAAGTTTTCCTTGATCATTGCAACGAAAGCTATTGCACTTGAAGCATATATTGGTTTGGCCAAAAAGTTCGTTCGGGATTTTCCATAAGGTCTTATGAAAAACCAGAACCAACTTTTTGGCCAACCCAATAATATCTTCTGGGTTTCTTTTGTTATCATTTATTTGTATATGTCTTTATTTTTTATTTTCTCAGGTAAATATCACAAACATCAAATGGATTTTAATGCCTCAGGAGCAGGGCGTGTGTGTGTATAACCTTTCTACCAAGGGCCCCACTGCACCAGATACAAGAGTGGGTACTCGATAAATACCTGTATCTTCAGCAGAAGGACACACCGGTAGAGATGCAGCTTTGCTCCATATTCACTATCTAATGCCTACTTTTCCAGATTGCACGCTAAAAATTCACCAAACACAGGGCCATATTGTTTGAAACGGACAGCAGCATCCTTTATAAATTTTAGGAATTTTCTCATCTGCCAAGGGTGATTATTTGTGTGAAACCCAGAAGCATCTTGGAGCTTAAGGAGTAATTCTTTATCTCTGGGGGTGATATCCAAAATGTTTAACAACCTGTACAGCATGGGCACTGCCCAATCAGAACAGATGCAGGATAACCAGATAGATGCCAGCTGTAAACAACTGACATACCTGCGCCGTGTGTGCGTGTGTGTGTGTGTGTGCGTGTGTGTGTGCACGCGCGCGCGTGTGTGCTCCATCTGACTTTCTCCCTTTCAAGGTGTCTAGAGCTTTCCCACATTAAGCACCATTGCTTATGTTTTACACTCATCTACATGTTCTCATTGAATCTAGGAGCATCTATGGGAGGTGGGCAGTGCAGGGATTGCTACGCCCCCCCTTTCAAACAAGGAAACTTAAGGTTCAGAGGCAGAGGAGAAGGCCCCAGTGTGCTATTTCCTTTTCTGGTACTTGTTCTACCTCACCAGGCTGCCTTTCCTGCATTCCCTGGAACTTTGTGAAAGGCACAAAGAGAAGTTCATCGGTGGATCCAGCTAAAAACATGAGTTCTGAAATATACGTTTAAGGATGAAGAAGAACTTTTGGATCTAGTTAACTCTGTTCTGGCAGATCACGTTCTGCAGACAGCTTGGCAGTCCTGGAAAACCTAACTGTCTATCTTTAAGCCACATTCTTGTTATTATTCAGGGAGTATGCATAATGAAGTTTTATGCATTGTGTTCCTAAAAAGGTGATAAAGCCAGTTCGGCCAGCCACGGGATCAACCAACCTCCCTTCGCACCACTTGCCTACAGTGTGGTTGTCAAAGGTAACCCCAGAGGCTGGAAATACAGTGTCCTGTGTGATATAATCAATCAGATAAGAAAGCAGACGTTGAGATGTGTTTCTCTAGAAGCCAAATCCTGTTCTCCCCTCCACAGCCTTGGACCAGCTTAGAACGAGTGAGTAGATTTGGGGCTCGCCGAGGTACCTGCGTTACAAGTTCGTCCTTGGCTGACACGCTACCGTCAGACTTCCCATCTTGCCTGTCCTATAAAAGAGAGGAAAGACAAGCATCTTTTGAAAAACAAAATGCCTATTACAAAAAAGGAAATCAGAAGAAAAACAAATGGTTAATATAAAGGAAGAGAATAGAAAACCAATATAGTGTAGGGAGGAGTTTTTCAAAGTGGGACTTTGGACGTAAAAAAAGAAATGTTCCCTTTGGGTTTCTCAAGGACTCTCCAGGCAGTTGTCATCACTTGCCCTGACTTTAACTTCGAGACACTGGAAGGGACACAGTGTTTCAGAGGAAACACTGAAATGGGCAGAAATCTACTTTGTTGATTTAGAAGCCTGAGCTCTGAGAAGCAAGGTTTCAGGTCTGGTTTCTCTGTTAAGCACTACCTAAATGATGTAATCCTAAGTCATATGTCCTATTTTGTTTGTTTGTTTTTTCAATGTTTATTATTCATTTCATTGAGGTTTAATGTCACATATAGTAAAATGCTCAAATTTAAATCTACAGTTCTGTGAATTTCTGCATACGTATATGCCCTCGTAACTACTGCCTCTTCCGGCGTAATTCTGTTGTGACTCCTGACACCTTATTGGTTTTGCCTGGCTTTTGAATTTCATATCAATGGAATCATAGACCATATCTTTTCTGAGTCTAGGTTCTTTTGTTCAGCATTATATTTTGGGGATTATCCATATTTTTGCATCTAAGCATGGTTGTTTTCCATTGCAATGCAGTATTCCATTATACTAATCTGCCTCAACTTATTTACCTATTCTCTTGTCAGTGGTCATTTAGCTTGCTTCCAGTGCCTGACTGTTATGAATAAAGTTGATAGGAACATTCCCGGACATGTCTTCTGGTGGAATAAAGGCTCGTATTTCTCACGGGAGGGCAATTATTGAGTCATAGTTTGTGTATTTCCAACTTAGTAGATACTGCCAAATAGTTTTTAAAGTGGTGGGTTTTTTTCTTTAGTTTTTAATAAGAAAGAAGATGGTCAAGTCCAGGGTGAGATGTGAGGAATCAGTGGAACTCAGCAGCATCTTTAACATGGAAGGAGGACAGTTAAGGTGTTTGGTGCCTGGCTTGAAAGAGGGGTCTTCAACACAGGAGACAGAGAAAGTTTCAGATGGGGATAAATAGAGTTTACGTTTGCATCTTTCATTTCCAAGAAGGGCTGTGACACCCAAATGGAAATCTTCAAGGCAGAGGGAGGTCCATGTTTGGACACAGGAGACAGGGTGACAGGGACAAGGGAGGCCTGGGAAGCCTAGCTGTGCACAGGTGTTCACTGAGGTTCCATATATGTGATCTGCCTGCAAGGTGCTTAGAATGAATGCACTTTCCTTGCTGGGCCATTTCAGAGCATTCTGGGTGGCCAGCGGTTGGAATCATTTTAGTCAGGGAAGTTTTCCCGGACAATCTGACTGTGCAGCACTGACCTCTTTTAAACTTGGGCTGAAAACACAAATCCTAAGAGTTGCTGAGGGAGCCCTCGGAGGGGTGTGACTGTCTGAATGCTGCCTGCATCTGAAACATGAGCTGGGGTTGCAGGGGAGCCAGAGCCCCATCGGGGTGGCAGCACTTACCCGGGTGATGGGGCATATTGACGTGGGCAGCAAAATATGGTCTCTGAGCTCCCCACCGTCACACAAAGTTGACAATTCACATTTGCGGTGAAACTGGAGGAAAAAATGAAGATGAGAGTTAAGTGAAAGTGATCAAGGAAATGTCAAGTGTGAGGGTTCAGAAATTTACTAGGGAGGCAGGTTGCTTAGTGCTCCTCTAAATCCTGATGCACTGCTGGCTTTCACAGTAAAGTAGAGAGAGAAAGAGTGTGTGTGTGGTGTGTAGTGTGTACCGGTGTCTGTGGTGTGTAGTGTGTACCGGTGTCTGTGGTGTGTAGTGTGTACCGGTGTCTGTGCTTGGTTATGGGTGCCAAGTCTGCTGTGGGCAGAGAAAGGAGACCAAGTGCTGCCCATGGCAGCTGGAGCAAAACGGTCCCGAGCAGGCCTGTGGCCTGTCCGTATAGCACCCCCACGTGGATTCCAGAGCCCCCATGGGACATTTGCTCCCTAGGCTCTGAGACACTGGAAGGAAGGAGATCCTGTTGAACAAACCCATGAGAGGCTGGAGATGAACCCCATGACTCAACCTCTGCATTTTAAGAGTTCTGCAGTCTGACACGTCCTTTCTGAGGCTGATACCCAGTCAAGGGGACAAGACACGGCACTGAGTCTGCTTTGGAAGGCAGGTCAGGCAGCTCCAGGTGTCCAAGGAGGAAGTGGACATTTGTCATGGATGATGGCAGTGGGCACAGGCCTCTTGTCCAGGCAGTGGGGTTGCTGTCAGGAGTATGCCTTCCTCTGATGCAGGTGACTGAGTATCTAATTCCTCTCCCACTCTGTCAGTGCCCCCGGCCCAGACAACACCCAGGTGAAGGAAGTTAATGGTCCAGCCTGCTATTCACAGCTGCCTGGCCACAGAGAGAGCAGACTGGTCAGCTTCTTCTTAAGCAGCCCTGGGGGGTGCCCTCCCTCTGGGCATCTTGGTGATTTACTGGAGGCAGTTAGACTTAGGGCACTGAACAGGGGCTCTAGGCTCCCTCTCTAGCCTTGCCCACGTAGCTCTGCTCGTGCCCTCTGGCAGGATGCTTGAGCAAAAAACCACACTGAAAAGCAGCAGGACTGCCCTGGGCGCCAACCCACCGTCATCCAGCACCACAGGCAGTGCCGCGCAGTGACACTCTGGTAGCAGTTGATACTTTTGTGGCACTGGTCACACTTGACAGAGGAATTCCCTTCCACCCACGCATGCTGCATCCCCTGCAGGAGGGAAGCGAAGGATACCAGGGAAGGCTGCAGAAACACATCCCAGGGCCCTGGGCCCTGGGCCTGCAGAGAAGGGTCTGGGAGGAGCGCAGGGAGCGGGGAGGCCAGAGAGGGTTGGTTCCTGTTTAGTGGGTGCACTTCTGGATGCCAGGCTGCTTTGCTGAACTGCACCAGTGTGGTCACTCCCTACCTAACCTCTATCATGCTAATCGAGGTGGATGGAAAGCCACTTTGCCTGCTCTTTGAACAGTCACCCCCCCTGGCAGTCAAGCCTCTGAGCATCTCGTCTTGCAGTTCATCTGTGTGTCACCGGAACTCTTTGCAAAGGGATGTATTTGTGTGTGCCCTTTTCTGGAAGGCAGTGGGGTGCAGGGAAACGCAGCAGGGCTTGGGCTACAGACAAAACTGGTTGGAGTCATTGATCTTCCACTTTGCAGCGGGGTGACCTTTGGCCAGTTCCTGGACCTCTCTGAGTCTCAGGTCCTTCATCTGCAGAAATTGGCATCAAATGCCCCACCTCTGGGTTTTCTGGGAGGATTCAACGAGACAGCACATTTGGAAGGGCCTTCCTGGCACAGTCCTGGCCCTTGGGGGGGTGCCCCTGATGGGGAATCCCTTCCCCCTCTGTCTTCTATGGGTCGGTGCCTCTCAGCCTTAGCAGCCCCTCAGGAACACCTGGCCGGCATCTAGAAGTCCTAATGCCCAGCCCTCACTCCAGACAAAATAAATTAGAGTCTCTGGGGATGAGACCCATCATTAGTATGTTTTAGAGCACACTGAGTGATTATCACATGCAACCAAGGTTGAGAAGCACTCAGGAAGGAAGTTAGAGAGAAAGCCCCAAGGGATTAGTGTGGGTCATCAGCCAGCAGCTTTCACATCTGTTTCCTGGAGAGCGTGTTGTACCTGCCTCTTGGCCAGGACATGCCCCTGAAGCAGCCCAGGAACTTGGGAAGCAGGTGTGAATGCATGTGTACGTGTGTGACTATAAATGCAAAGCGACCCATGACACCAAATTCTGGGGGTCTGAGCCCTCAGTTAAGTCCCCCGGGAATTCTATAGAACTCCTCAAAAAATTTTTCACCAGGGTATCCTGAATAGCGGAAGGGGTGGATATGGACTCTGGGGGAACGTGGGGACATAGCCTGAAGTGCCAACTGCAAGCACAATATTAAAAACACATGGAATATCTGCATGACACCATCCACGTCTGTATTAGGTAAAAGTTTTAAATTACTTATCAGTTAAGTTACTGTGTCCTCCTTCCAAAAGATTTTTGGTAAAACTGTTGCTCTAGAAGACGTGTCACATGTACTTTGTAGTTTCTCCTTCTGCCATTCACCCCTGAGGGTATAAAGAACTCAGTTTGCTAATCAATTTGTCATCTACATGGTCACAATGAATTTGTTCTGAAATTATTATTATTTTTACTTTACAGAGAAAAAATATGAGGCTGCAGAGAGGTTAAGTAACTGGTCCTAGGTTCCAAGGTAAGTGGCCAAGCAGGGACTCATGGCCAGGTCTCCTGACTCCAAGTCCACGGTAGTCTCCCAACACCACGTTACCTTCTCCATCCTCTTCCAGGATCAGAAGAGACGGTTAAAGACTTAGGTTGCCTCTGGAGACTCAGAAGGTCGTGAATGTGCCCTGCTGGGCCCTCAGAGGTCTCCCTCTGTTCCAAGTGTGGCAATGGCAGGAGTGCAGGCTTAGGGCCTGAGCCCAGGAGGTGCACCATATGTCCTGGTGAAAGGCATGGACATGGAACGGTGTGTGTATGGGTGTGGTACGGAAGGAGTAGACAAGAGGCCACGTGGCGTCTCACAGGCATGCATGCGTGTCCCTGGAGGTGCCCTTCTCTCTCGGAGTCCTACTGGGTAAGGGCTGGATACCACTCCCACCTGCTAACCATCTCCTGACTCAGATTCCTCAATGGGGTTTTCCCTCTGCAGGAACTCGGAGTGCCTTTCCCCTGCTAATTTGAAGAACAGTCTATTTCCAGACTCAGTGAATGGTACCAGCCAATGGCCACCTTAGAAACCTGGTAGCCATTTCCAACCTCTCTCCCTCTCTCATCCCCTACATGATTGTCACCAGGTCCTTGTGGTAGGACCTTCCAAATTATCTCTCAGACTCTCCCTTTATGTCTTCTACCTTAGCCAGTGGGACAGCCAAAACACTCAACAACCGGCATTGCTGGGGGACACTCACTCAGCACAGACACAGCCATCACTGTGCTACTGCAGACATAGCAGAGCATAGTGGGTGAGTGCAGACGCCACCCCAGTCAGGCCCTAGGGCAGCATTAACTCTTGCCTGAACTGTTGGAAAAATTTTTTTCACCCCCTCTGATCTGATCTCTCTCTGGCACCATGGTCAGAGCAATTAACCTAATCTGCAAACCCAAACACCTCCTCATGTACTCAAAGCTCTTCAACGGCCCCTTAGCTACAAATGAAACCCCTTCCCAAGTCCTCAGCTGGCCTCACAAGACCTGGATCTCACCAGTTCTGCAGCACATCTCCCGCCGCTTCCTTCTAAGCATCCTCTATCCCAGTCACACGGAACCAAGTACAGATCCGATAATAAGCCGCGTCTCCACGCCTTCACACTTGAGGCTTCTCCAGCCTGGGGTGCCTTGTCCTCCTGGATTCCTTATGAAATCCCGCTGATTTGGGTTCAAGACACAACTCAAATGCCATCTTTCTGGTGAAACCTTTCCTGTCCGCCACCCTTGGTGCCTCAACTGTATGTCTCACACAGCCCTATCGCTACTGCACAGCTCGCTACTTTGCGCTTCGCTTACATGCCTGTCTCCTCCCACTAGACTGCACAGTCCTCCAGGCTGAGGACCACCTTTTAACCTGCATACCCCCTGGCACAGGATCTGGCACACGGTGGGCACCAGGCAGATGCTAAATGGATTGATGGATGGCCAAGACGGTTTAAGGGTGGTCCTCAAGGCAGAGAAGGGACTGTACAAAGCTCCCAAAGCCCCTTCCTGCCCAGGAATCTGTGGAGATGGACATGTTGCCTGGGACACAGCATGCAGGAGAAGAAGGCAATAGGTATCACCAACCTCTCCTCCCCTTTTGGTTTTTGAGTTCGTTTTGATACACCCAGGAATGTTTTTGGATACACAGCGTTCATGGACAGTGTATTTACAGTCTGAAAATAAAAATAAGAAAAGTGACGGTGAGTGACCACGTAGGGAAGGTCAGCCATCCCCCTGCCCCCCACCCCAGCTGAGGCCCGTGCCTCCCTCTGCGTGGCCAGTCAGGGGCAGGGGACATATGGAGCTGGCCTTGCCTAATGGCAATTCAAGTCTCCAGTTGTTCACTGAGAAGAGTCCATGACTATCTCCCAGACATGCTCCTGCACCCTCCCCCCTGCCACACTGCCTTCCACCGCGGGTGGTGAACGCAGCAGGAAGACATCCCCAGAAAGGTGCTTTCCGCTTAAGGGGAGTGAGGAGTCATCCTGGCTATGCCAATGCCACAGTACTGAATGTCAGGATGTTGGGGCGTGGATAGCAAGGCCGGGGTCTTCCTAACTCTGGAGACAGGAAGGCCTGAGCCTGAACTCTGCCTCTGCCCTTTGTAACTACCCACACAATCTAGGGTAAGTTCCTTCACCGCTCTGAAATTCAGGGTTTTCTAAAAAATGGGAAGAAGATTGCTTTCTCTTTGCAGCATCACATAATTTGTATAAAGCACCACGTGTGCAGGTCAGAACAGCTATTCCACAAATGACTGCTGTTGTTACTGTTTACTACTGTGCCAACAGGCCTAGAACGTACTAGGAATGAGGCTGGGCCTATGAAAAGTGGGTGAGAGCTGGATTTGAAATAGGTGCTGGAAAGACAGGGGGGCCCCTACTTTTGCCTGCTGATGCTTGCTCTTGGTAGACACTGGGCCCAGCTCTGCTACGATGACTTTTGTGGCTGAGGTTGCCTGCTGCCTGGCTCCTGTGTGCATGGCAGATAAAACATTTTGGTGACCCGCTCCGTACCCGACGGCCCTTGCTGCCGCAGCAGCTCCCCAGTCCCTGGAGGGTTCAGGCTGAGTGCTTGCTGTCTGCATCCTGAGGTGGGGGGCAGGATTCTGCACCCACGCAGCCTGGGCCCTACAAAGCCTTCTTGCTGCAGCCCCTCCCTTCTCTTCCTGCTCTGCAAACCCACCCTCTTTCCTACATGACCCCTTCTTTCTTCCTTCTCCTCCATCTCTTTCTTCTGTCCTCCTTTCCAGTCTCCCTCCTTTCTTTTCCATGTGTGTTTTTTTCTCCTCTCCAATCTGACTTTACTAAATAGATTATAAAGTCAAACAAATGGATAATTTTAATTCCATTGTATATATGAATATAGTTGCTTATTAATTAAAAAAAAAACAAACAGGTTCTTCTGACCAACCAAAACATTCACTAGCAAAACTCAATTGAAATTACTATGAGATGCTTTTTAACTACATTTGAACCTTAACTTTTTCTAGGCAGTCAGTGGCCTATGACGAGACTCTAATAGGATAATATTTGTCCCTTTGACTTGGGTAGAACAAAAATAGAACATGGAAGTTTTGCTTTATTTTCTGCTGTTGGAATAATATGGCAAATCCCTCAAGCTAGGAAGCAGAGATGCCTAAACTTTTCTGGGAATGGCTCAATCATGTATAGAGCAAGACAGTTCCTGGGAAAAGGGGTTTGAAGGAAGTTTACTCACAAATGCAGCACAGGCCTTGCTTCCGAGCGCCCATCAGCATGACATGGCAGAAGTTGCAGTAGGTTGGTTTCTTGAAATGCTTCATGGTCCAGGCGTGCCTCCCATCCCCCTTGGAGCCCTGCGGGGACAGCAAGGGAATGAGATGCAGGCAGCCCCACTGTTTATAAAAAGAGTCTCTTCTCATATTTGGAAAACAAATTTATTTTGTTATTCACAAATTTATTTTGTTATTCACTTATTTTACTGTTGTAAAGATTATTTTAATAGAAATGCAAATCAAAACAAAATTCTTTATGTGTATTTTCTAAAATAAGCAAATATTAAAAATTAGGGCCATCTGAGTAGAGTATGTGGTGGGGGGAGTGGAAATCAGAACAATCTTTCTTTCTTTCTTTCTTTCTTTCTTTCTTTCAATCATCTATTAGTCATCTATTACCTATCAATCATCTATTATCTATAACGATCTATCATCTATCTATCACCCATCTATCTATCCTTTAAATGTTTACAACCTTCAACTTATAAACTTCCTTTCTTGGATTCTATCCTAAAGAAATCATTTTTGAAAGATAGATGAGCATTTTTGTGCTCTGTCAGATGTTTAACCCAGCATTATTTAAATTAACTGAAAATATCCTAAAGGCCTCAAAATGACCAAAAGGTTTGTGGTACATCTGTATGATTTAATGTTAAGTGGCCATCAAAATCATATTTATAAGAACACTGAATGGTTTGGGAATGTGCTCATGATACTAAGTTCTAAGGGAAAAAAACAGAATGCAAATTTGATGATATATTATGATCTCCGTTTTATACAATGATATGTTGTACGGGAAAAAACGTCACCAAACTGTTAACAGAGGTTAGCTATAGCTAGCAGCACTATGGATTTATTTTATTCTCTAATTTCTACTTTCTTCTGTATTTTCCAAATTTTCTACAGTGAGGAGGTACTAGTTTTATAATCAGAAAAAATTAGCTTAGTAAAAACAATGTACTCCTCTCATCACCTTTCTGTGCACAGATAAAACAGCAAAGAGACAGAGACAGAAAGAGGGTTAAGCCATTTCCCCCTGACTTGGCTTGGGAGCAAATTCATTCTATCTACCAGATAAGCCAAGCCTCACGTAATCACACACCTTCCTTGGACACCAAAGCTCCCACCTTCTAGCCCCTGGGAGCATAGGCTTGCTGGAGACTGTGGCTTCAGGAGCATCCCTCCAGGTATGGTGTCCTTGACCTTTTGTCATAGGCTCCATCAAAAGAGTAACACTCAAAAAAAAAAAAAGAGTAACACTCTTGGGCTGTTGTTAAGGGTAGTAAAAAGTACTGTAAGGTGGTAAGGATTGAGAGTCAGGTACATGGAGTCCAAAGTGCTGGATTGAAACCCACTTCTTACTTCTGTGTCCCTCTGGTTTGGGTTGGTCATAGTGGCCAGACCCATTCCTGTGCTCAGCTCTTCTGCTAACGGTCTCTAGAGGAGCCCACATGCTTTTTCAAATGCTGGTCTCCTCCTGGGGCCAGGATACGTTATTTTCTTCTTACCACCTCAAAACCCTGCTTCTTCCAAAACCTGAGTCTTACAGAATTAAAGCCTTTTTATCTAATGGCTTCTACTTTAGTAAATGGGTTCAGTAACTGATTAAATGACCCACTTAAATATCTATTCATTCACTCCTTTGACAAACATTGACCTCAAGGGATTTTTGTAAAAATCAAGTGAAATACTATAAGTGAGGACCCTAATCCAGTGCCCGACACATTGAAAATGAAAACATTTATTAAGTTCCTACTCCGTGCTAGGCAGTAGGGGACACAAAAATAAGTAGAGTGCTTTCCTACGTGTAAGGAGGTAGATTTAGACCTGTTCTAGAAATGAAGAAGCAAAGACTCATAGAAGTTACATAAATAGCCCAAGACCACACAAATAATAAGTGACCAAGCTGAGCCCGTAGTCACACTGGGGGCTCTTGCTGGCCTCGGAGCCCATGCTCCTTCCATGCCTCTCCTGTACCTCCACAGACCAGGGTTTTCCTTCATGGACAGAAGGGAAATTACAGCACTCTTAGCAGACCCAGCTCCTTCTTCATCCAGCCCAAGGGATGGTGATTTGACCTGAAATACCTTTATTGGCAAAATCAATTAGTATCTGAGCAAGGGAGAGTCAGCTATTTTCATAGATACAGGGTAAGAAGCAAAGGGACCCTGACTTGGGATAAAGTAACATTTCTGCTTGGGTTATAGCACCATCATGTGGCTCCTTTATTTCTGCACGTTGGCGGCTGCAGGGCGTAGGAGTAACGTTCCTTATGCACGCCAGGTTTTGGGTTGAGACTGCAGTTCCCTTGGGAGACAGACTGTTTCTCATACATGCCATTCAGAGATCCCCAGACTTTTCAGTGGCCACATGTGGGTTTTGAAAAAAGCCAAACAAGCAAGGTGGCTTTTAAGACATCGAGGAACGCTTTCCCTAGAACCCCAACTATTAATGTGAAAACATACAATTTAGTGCCTATTTTCAAATAAATGCATAAAATTTCAATTAATAAAAACCAAATGCACATTTGTTTTTTGTTTGCATTATTCCTGACGTAAAGTATGGTTTTAATACAAGGCTGATTTGGCATCAGGGGGAGACACTGGGGAGAATGCTGAAGAAATAATGCCTCTCCCTCTTCCAGCCATAAAACAGTGGATCCCCTCCAAGCAAAGAGTTGGTGGCACTTTGGACTCAACAAGTCCAAAATAGGAAACAGAACTAGAAATTGGTTCCTTGTGATTAAAATGTCCCATCTCTATTTCCATGTTTCAGAGAAAAAACAGGTGCATTAGACAGCACTCAGGCAGAACTTTCACTTTGATTCAGCTATAATCTTGAGCCTTGATAGCAGAAAGTATACCTAACCTATCTGAGCACCCCCAGGTCCCAGCTCACGTGGGTTCATGCACACAGTAGGTTCTTGGTAAGAAATCACTGCATGAGAAGTCTGCTGTCACTGAATATGGAAGATGGCTTCTGGTACTAACTAGGTGTGTGTCCATGGGCAAGCGCCTTTACCTCTCTGGTCCTTGGTATGAAAAAGGAAGGGGACAGACCAGGGAGCACCAAGATCTCTTCCAGCTCTGACCTTCTAGGGTTATAAGGAAAAAGGAGATCCTGGTTCATTGATTTCTATTTAGCACTTGGAAAGAGCTGGACACGCTATGAGATAATTGCAGGATTCTTAGTCCTTGAGCGTTGGAGATGAGGGCTCAGCTTTAGTCCTGAATTGCAGAACTGTCAGATGGACACAGCACAGGCAACAACATCAGCTAGAGGCTAACCCAAATGAACCTGCTGTTCTGTCCCTATCTTTGACATTTCAGTAATCTTGAAGAGGTATTGTCTTACAACCCGTGTGACTGTACCGGTAAACGCTAATGTCACCATTTGTACTTTTAGTTCTAATCTTCCCTACCTCATGTATGGAAGCTACTTTCATGGTAAATAAGCAGACCAGGTCAGATGCCAGTGATTTCACATTAAGCCTCTACACGTATTCCCTACTCTGATCAAAACTGGGAGGTTTCTCTAAAACACCCTGAATTTTCTTTCATGTGGGTCTTTGATCAAGCTACAAACTCTCTCTTCTACCAGCCAAATCATACCCATCCTCCAGAGCCAGATCAAATATCCTAGGTCTTTATCTTTATCTCAAGAATGGGATATCAAAATCCCACACATCCTTCAGAGCCAGGGCAAACACCCTCCAAAGTTTCTTCCACTGGTCTCACTCCTAAGTGTGAGATGTTCGAAAGTGCAGGTTCTTTGGAGTCAAGTACAAATAAATGCTGGCTATTCTTTTTCCTCTTCGGACTCAGAATCTCAGTTTTCCATCTGTTTAAATGGGTAAAAAAAAATCTACTTTATCTGGTTGTTCTGATTGTTAAATAAGATATTATTATGGGCTTCCCTGGTGGCACAGTGGTTGCGAGTCTGCCTGCTGATGCAGGGGACGCGGGTCCGTGCCCCGGTCCGGGAAGATCCCACATGCTGTGGAGCGGCTAGGCCCGTGAGCCATGGCCGCTGAGCCTGCGCGTCCGGAGCCTGTGCTCCGCAACGGGAGAGGCCACAACAGTGAGAGGCCCGCGTACCAAAAAAAAAAAAAAAAAAAGATATTATTATTGAACGCCCTCTGCCTCACAACAAATCAGTATTTTTTCCTTTCTTTCTTCCTTTCCTTCCTTCCTTCCCCAACTCTCTTAGCATTTTTAAACCTAATTTGTGAAAAAGATGGAATTCTTCCCTGAATATTTTTTGCCCTTTGCCTGGTTGAGCGTAAGTTTCCGGTGGGTGAATATTGTATCTGTGTTCCCTCGTAGCCCTTAGAACAGTATCTTTATTTAGTAATAATTTAGTAAACGTCTGTCAAATGAATGAATAATATTTCAGGCACTAATAGGTAAAAAGAGAGGACTTTTGGGCTGGCCTAGAGCATACGGGCTGTCCATTGGGAAGTCTGGGGCAGAAGCCAAGGATATTAACTTCCACGTGGAACCTGATGTTTCTGAAAGGTGAGAGGTCTTTGACCTCAAGCTTGCAACTTACAGAGTCGTCCATGCCCAGGAGGACGAGCAATGGGATGGTGGTCATCCCTCCGTGGACCCACTCCTGGAGAGACACAAAGCCATCCCGGTCGTAGTCCATCCCTTGTAACATCTCCTTCAATATCTGTGGAATCCATAGAGCAACCACTGTCCACTTTCATCTTCGACTTCTCTGCCCCACCCCTGCCCCGCCCACCCTGCCCTTTTCTTTCTCTTCTGTTCTATGTTTTCTGGCTTGTGTTTTACCCCTTTCCCCTCTGATTCGGAGTGAGTAGAGCATTGAGGGAGCAAATGGGGGTGAGGAGAACAGGGGTCCAGGCCTGGCTCTGCCCTGACCTGTGTGGCCTTCGACAAGCCACCCCAACTCTCTGGATTCTGCTTTTCTCGTCTGTAAACTGGAACTAGTATTGCTATGTTTGCAGCATGGTAGTGAAGATTAGAGAAAATGTATATAAAACGCTAAATATGATATTGGACTCATAGGAGCGCCCAATGTAATTATTATTATTAATATTTCTAATGATTGAGAAAAATCTTTAAAAGTCTTTCTAGCTCTAAATTCTCTGATCTCTGAGCTCCTGTTATAAAAATTTAGCTTTGGTGAAAGCGTTAGGGGGTATTATTAGGTATTATTATTTGAATTAGTCTATACTTTCCCCTGCCGCCTCTAATCTTTCCTATCAGGGAAGTGGGAGATCAAGGTGTAGGACCCAGAGAAGTCACCTCTAAGAAGATGATCTGGGACAGCCTGCACCGTAAACATGTGTTTCCAAGTCCCACTCTCATCTTGGAAGCTCACTGGAAAGTCACCCCTTGCTTTTGGAAACTCACAGGCCTTAGCTCCGTGGGATCCCACTCGAGATACTGGGCAATGTGTAGCATCTGGTTGACAATACGATCCATCTCCTAGAAAACATCAAGGAGAGAAGCCAACTGAAGATGTGCTTTTACAAGCAAGACTCAAAATCCAACCCCGTGGGAAGATGGGCAGGGCAGAGTGTGAGAAGCAGCTGGTACAATATACTGGCATTTCATCAAGCACTCACTATTTGTTTTTGCTCTTTATTTCTGCCTGGACCACAAAGCCCACAAGAAACACAGACCGTGGATAAGCCAGAGGTATGCAGAAAGCTCACTGAACACTGACCTCCTCCTAGACCCACCTTCCTTCCCCTATTCTGTGCTCTGACTTAGCATAGAAAGCACTCCTGTTTCCTCCTTCTTTGTGATCCTACAAATACTTACAAACCAAGGCACTTACTTCTTCCCTCTTTTCCCACACCTCATTCCCACAGCTTTAGCAACTTGGGATTCATCTATACCCCTTGGGGGTCAGTTTCAGTTGGATGTAGAGCCACTGTGTTGGTCCTTTCTCAGGCACTATGATTCAGATTCCTTTTGGCATCTCCTTTGTTTCCTTTGTATCAAGTCCTGGGTCCAGGACTCTTGGAACAGGAAATTCATGAAGGGTATGTTTGCCTAATGAGTGAGCCTTTTGTTTGGTACCAAGGCCAGGCTCCATCTAAAACCTCACAGAATTGTTGGATGCTAATGAATCAGTGCCCTGAGAGTCCCACTGAAACACACTGGACTGAGAAAGCATTTGCATGTCTTGGGCACCATCTAAGATGTTCATAGTAAGGTTGATTTGGGGACACAGGTTGGAGAACTGAAGCAAGCTTTAAAGGTGTTACTTTCACCAGGTAGAATGTTGGGTCAAAATAAGCAAGCTAAAACCCAACAGGGATTTTAAAAATTGTATTTCGTTTAAAGTAGAAAATAACCCATTGCAAAACTGCAGATGAAGTGGTAGATGGGGATAAGGAAGTGGGCAGAATGGTGGGAACAGGGCTCAGCAGAAGTTCCAATGGAAAAGAGCTCGTGAAACTAGTTGGGTCCAAGATTCAATGTGAGCAAACGATGTGATTCAGGAATGGAGAATTAGACCCAATCTTAGGCTGTGTAAATAGGTGGGCATTTTCAGGGAGCAGAGCGGGCAGATTTCAGGAAGAACTAGTTCCCTGATGTGAATACTTAAAGAGTCCTGGAGGGGTGGGTTCAGTTCTATGCCATATTGTAAGAACGGCATTGACAAACTAGAGCTTGACCAGAATTATGAGCAACAGCAACAGAAATTAGGAAGTATGAGCTTGGGGAAGATTTTTGGGAAGATGTGATAGTACCTTCAAATACCTGAAGGCCTATTGTGTACAACTGGTACTCCACTGGTCAGCTGCCCCGGTCAGCTACAGAGGGCAGAAGTAAGCTGAGGGATGGAGGGAGGGAAGAGTTGAGGGTTGGCCTATTTTGACCTCACCACTGGGTTGGGGGAGGGGAGAGAAGAGCAGAATCAGGTTTTGATTTGAAAATTTCCCTGGCAGACTAGAGATGCCTTGTGTGCGGGAGGGACGCCTTCTCTAACAGTCATCCCCAGTGGTGGAGCGGCTGTTTTAAGGTACTGGGTGAACTCTCCATTACTGGGAGTGTTCACGAAGAGGCTGGGCATCCAACTGCCAGGGGGTCTTGGTGGGAAGTTGAAAGAGAGAGAACTATTTTGAGACTCACTTCAGTCCACCAGTGTTACCTTCCAAATAGATCCAGAATTTAACCACTTCTTACCACCTGCAATGCTGCTACCCTGGTGCAAGTTACCATCATTTCTTGTCTTGCTTATCTTAATAGCCTCCTAACTGGTATTCCTGCTTGCATCCCCACAGTCTAGACAATGCAGCAGCCAGAGCGATCCTGTTAGGACCTAAGTCAATCATGTCACTCCTCTGCTCAGAATCTCCAATGGTTCTCTACCTCTCCAGAGTAAAAGAGAAAACCCTTTCAATTACCTGTAAGGCTTGATAATGCTTTGCAAACGCCCCGTCCCTTCTCATTACTTCTCTGATCTCATCTCCTATTACTCACTCCAACCTCATCTGTTCAGTCATCCTGTTCCACTCACTCTGGCCTCCTAGTTAATCTGCTAACATTCCAGGCATCCCTCAGGACCTTGGCACTTGCTGTTCCCTCTGCCTGGAAGGTGCTTCCCCATGACTCACTCCCTTCACCTCCTTCAAGTGTCTGTTCAGATGTCCCCTCCTCAGGGAGACCTTCTTTGGTTCCTCCAGCTAAAACTGCAGCTCCCTCCAATACTTCCTTTCCCTCCTTTATTTTCCCTCTAGCACACAGCTCTATCTAACACATACTTGACTATGCTTTGCAGTGTGTGTGTTTGCACTAGAATGAAAGCATCATGAGGGCCTGGATCTTTGTTGGCTCACTGATACACCCCCCAGTGCTTAGAACAGTAGCCGACATATATGAGATAATCAATATGTGTTGATCAAATGCTTGAGATTCTCTTGGTGGTTCCCTCGCATGACCCAGCTCACGGAACTGCAATGTGGCTGCAGGGATCCCATGAAGACACTCTGGGGTTGAGTGGGAACCGGGACGATGCAGTTGGTCTAGGGACTGGTTCCCTTTCTTCCTCCCTTTGGTCTGACTCAGCCCCGTGCACTTCAACCTCAGAGCCTTTCTGTTAATGAGTCCCATCTCTGACACTGCCAGTCATGAGGACAGGACCTGTCTGATTCTCTTTGCCTTTTCTCCTCTCTACCTTCTTCCTTTTCCATCCTTCTTCTCATTCCAAGACCCCTGACCTGTCCCAGCCTCTTCCTGAGGGGAGGTGGGGATGAGACTCAGGCTTCCCCAGGTGTGGTGGGATGGGATCATGTGCTCGGAGCAGACAGAGCCAGACTCCTAGAGCTGGTGCCCTGGGGTATGAGAGGAAGGCAAGGGTAACGGCAAAGCACGCCAGCAGTTACCTGCCTTCTCCTGTCTTCTTGCCCTGGTCTCTCTGCCTCTCCCACCTCCTCTCCTCCACCCCTGGGCTTCAGCAGGAAGTTATAGGGGGAATTTCTGAACCAGCTGGGAAGTTAAACTACATGAGATACTAAAGCATCTCCCCAACCTGAGATTTTGCGATCTGAGCTTCTGGAATGAAAAAGCAAGTTGGAGTTCACTCTCCTCTGGGCGGGCTCTTTGGAAGTAGAAGGCGGGGGCTTCTAGTCATCTCTGCAGCTCATATTGAGACACTGCTATTCCTACGAAGATGGAGCTGAGAGTGTTTGGACTCTCCCTTCACCTGTTCCCCTCTCCCCCAGTCTTTATTGGATCTTGGAGGGATATTTGGAGAGCTTACCGCTTGGTCCAGGAGACCATTCTCATCCGAATCATAGAGACGAAACATGACTGCAAGAAACACAGAGGTGAGGCTTGAGATGTCCTCCGGGTACCAGGGATGGGCTGAGACTTTGCTGCTGCCAGTTTTTAGATGAAGTCCGTTGCAGCCAGTTCACCCACCCTCCAAGGCACAGAGTCTGACCTTCCTTACAGTGGGAAGAGGGAGGAGAACCAAGCCACCTGGCTTCTGGGACTGTCTAAGCAATAACTCTGCCGCTGATGAGATCTGGGTCACGAGCGTGATTCCCTGTAGAGCACTCACACCTCTCAGCATCACGGGAACACAACTCAAAGCAGATGCCCCGCTGGTGGTGGGGCAGAGGCACCACAGTTGTAGACGGGACACTGCTTCTACTGCACACAGAAAGGGTGTGGAGTTAGGCAGGTTCAGATCTTGGCCCTGTCCTACCACCTCTAGGGCATCACATAAGTCACTTATCTTCTTTAGGCTCAATTTCTTCATCTGTAAGATGGAGATTATAATAGTTTCTTTATCCTAAGTTTTTTTCAAATGAAGATTAATATGTCAGTGATATGCTAAATCTATAGCACTTGGAATGTAGAGAGTACGCAACAGATGTTATTTATTTTCTTTCATTAATAAATATTTATATATGGCATTTAATATGTGCAACGTACCATCCTATGCACCTTATCATTATTACTTATTTAATCCTCAATAATGGTATGAAGTAGTTATTATTATAGAAGCTATTATATTTCTTTTTCTAAAAATGTCTACATGCAATTCAGAAACATCCTCTACCATGTTCTAGCTGTAGAGAGGTGATGGAAGATAAGAAAGATTTGGGAGTGAATTTTGGGCAAAGGACTAAATGTTCATTTATGGGATTTGGAAACTTGCCATTTCATTCATCTAAAAGGTAGAGATCCTGTCTGTGGTCTCAGAAGTAAGCAGGGTGGGGAGCAGAGCTGAATACATCTTCATTTCCCTCTCATGCTTTAAAACCCTTCATCATGCCTGTGGCTGACCCTTCCCTTGTGTAACTGCTCTGGACCACTTGGGATGTACCCACAGGGTCACAGCACTCCTGTTAATTTGCCCTTGTGTTGTCACTTCCTTCTACATGTTTTATGTCTCTGGACCTTGCATTTATTCAGTGGTGTCTCTGGTTGGACTTTAAGTTATTTAAAAGTCATGGGCTTCCGATTCTTTGTGATTCCTCCAAATGTCCTGGTCAGAGACACTCTGGGCCCAGGTGGCTCTAACATGGAGCCCTCTTTGGTCCCACTGTGCATGAGGAGTAGAATGAGGAAGTGTGAGCAAGCATCCTACTTTTTAGCAGCATGGCCTTGGGCAAGTCATTTAACTTTTCCATGCTTTCTTACATATAAAATGAGAACAATCATGTCAACTATCTAGGGTTACTGTCAGGTTAAAATGAGAAAATGCATTTAAAGTGCTTAGCAAAAATAAGGAGTTCAGTGATGAGTTATTATTGTTATTACATTGATGATGGGTGGGATTTCAGGCTATCATTTCCAAAAAAAAAAAAATACATGCTTGGTTATCTAGAAAAAAAACTTAACTTGGTTTCAATCACTAAAATCAGAGATGATTTGAATTAATTTAATTTAATTAAAAAAAGAAAACTTTATAGGACAAATGACCAAGTTTCTGCAACAAAAAACTGTAGGGAAAAAAATAAGCAAAAGATGAAGAGAGACTAAAGAGATGTAGTAACAAATGGCAATGTATGGACCTTACTTGGATCCCAATTCAAACAAACAGTGCTTCCCCAAGTAAGGGAAAATAATGAATACTGACTGAATGTTTGATAATAGTAAGGAATCGTTGTCTTTAGATGTGATTGTGGTGTTGTGGTTATATTTAAGAAAAAGTTACATTATTATAGAGGTACATACTGAGATATTTACAGATGAAATTATATGATGTCTGGAATTTGCTTCAAAATAATCTGGGGCAGAAGAAATGAGTGGGAGGTATAAATAAAACACGAGTGACCACAAGCTGGTAATTGTTGAAGGTGGTTGATGGGCACACGGAAGTTCTTTGTATTCTCTACTTTTATCTGTGTTTGAAATTTTCTGTAATAAAAAGCTTTTAGAAATACAGTTTCTTTTCATTACCATTACAGGACTCAGTCTGAGAGGCACTAATACAAGGAATTTGCCACATTTGCTCCTCTCTGGTAGTTATGAACAAATATAACGCCTGAAACTCAAAATCCAACTGAATGTGGGAAATAATTTGACATTTCCCTTTTAACATTAGTCAGAAGAAACAGAAATCTGGTACATTTGCTTCCAAATTAGCATTTAAGACTTGTAATTGTTAACACTGCAAACCTAGGGGGGAGGTTTTAAGCTGGCTAAGAGAGCAAACTGTTTCATTTTGTTTTGGGCAAGGGTTAACCTTTGCCAGACTTTTCCTAATGCTTAAGTTTCACTGACTAGTCCGATTATTAGCTGGAATTTTGACTTTTGCTATAATGTGTATGCTTTTCCCTCAGTGTCTACTAAGATCCCAAGAGATGCCAAAACAATATATATTTTTAACAAGGTCCTACCTGTCATCTGTTTCAAAGTTTGCCTGTAGGCTCGCAAAAGTCAGCGAGACCGTCCCCAGAGTGAGTCATCTGCGAGATTGCAGGCTGCTTCAGCCACTGTGGGCTTTCCTTTCTGTCCCCAGCTATTATTCTCCTTCTGAAGACATGTTTTTGAAACTAAGCTCAACTCCCTTAATTAACTAGCCCTCTTTCTCAAGAGGCCAAAACACTTGGGGTGGGGGTGGGAGAAGACATGGAAATAGGCTTTAACAAGACAGAGGTTGATTGGATTTCAAGAAAAAAAAGAGTTCTTCATAGTTAAAGAGTTGCTTGGGCATGGAATAGGGGAAGGAAGACAGATGTTGAAAATCTTCCCTTGAAAAATCTTCTAAGAGGAGGCAGCCGCTTTCTGACTGGAGGCTTTCAGGAAATCCTGCCAGCAAAGGAAGGGAGTCTTCACCCTTTGCAGAGGCCCCTTACCTTTCCAGATCTTGGTTCTCAATACCAAGGTCTCCAATGCACCTTCCACCCTATACAACTGGTACTGTGTTCCAGGGAAGATTCTAGGAAATATTCATGTCACTGCTGGTGACAGGGCAGAAAAGCTCCCCCAAGGAGGCAGGACCCATCTCCAGGATCCCAGATCAACCTCCAGCCTGTTTAGAACCATAAACAGGACACTAGCTCTTCCTCTAGGGAAAAGTCGAAGCCCCTTGACAGGGTGCATACTTACACTCTAGCTTATCCTGAGGTCTCCCCGTTTCCAGCAAGGACAGGTAACACATGACATCCTTCAGGTACACTATGGGGGATTCTGAGCCTGAAGACTGAGCATCATGGTTTCCCACGGGGGTCGCAGACACTTGGTCTTTAGTTGGCACTTGCTTCTCGGTGAGCTTAGATTCTGTGACAGGCAAGAGGAAATCATCCAAGGACACAATGTTTAGTAAACATGAAACCCTTTGTTGCCCCATTCTTTTCACGGTAGAGACAAGAATTTTATGAGTGTCTTCAAAAGCATGGATTACATAGATATGATCAAATCAGTGGCCCTAGAAATCCAGATTGTAGAGTTCATACTTCTGAGTGAACCCCATACTGACCCCTTTAAGAGTCTATAGCCTTATAAGAAATTCACCTATGCTCTGTGAATTTTAAGAAAAGATGATTTTTAGTAATATCAATAGCCAACAGGTAAATGTCATTTAGCCTAATTTGGGGGGGAACACACCCAATTTGTAGAGGCAATTTTGTCTGGGATTCCAAAAATCCAGACTATTGGTTATTTACCAACATACTGTTTTACAATTTTCTTCTCAAATGCATTGAAAGATAAATAAAAAGATGAAAGTTCGAAAGAGAAAACTGGGATTGACAACTAATTTCCAGAAACCAGGAAGAACTGTGACTTACTGAAAGCCTGATCAGTTGCATAAGGAAAGTATAGAAAGTGGCTTATCATACCACAGGAATAGAGTGAGTTTTCCCTCTGAAATTTTCCTTCTCACAGGTAGGAAGACTGTCTCTTTGTCCTCTGGTTAAGAAATATGATGTTATTACTAACCAGAAAACCAGGCACCGATATTTTACGTGTGAATCATACTCTTTTGAGGCATTTTAAGGGCTATCTCTTTTTCCCCAGCCTCTTTATATCCATGATCTCAATATCAAATAAGAGGATGCAACTCAGAGAAAACACAGGAAACAGTAAAAGGAAGACTGTCAGTGGAAAATCTAACCCAAGTGTTGTACCACCAAATAACAGAGTGTTGAAGGCACAGGCAGAGGGAGAGATAGCCTTGATATTACTGCCTGCTGGGGAAAGCAATGCCACCAGTACACTCTTTATTCAGAGAACCAAGGTCCCAAGCAATGGCAAACAGTCCAGCTCAGGCCAACACAGCTGCGCTAGATGAAAGCCTACCAGGTCCTAGGGGTTAGGTTGTTGTTTGAGAAGGGAGTTAGCCATCACCCAGATGGACAGTGGGTGAGACCAAAGGCCACTGACATACTCTGTATGTTACAAAGCGTCCTGTGAAGAGACCAACATGGGACCCACGAAACAGAGTTGCAAAACAAGGAAAGGAAGCTTCATCATGAAGTCTCAGAGGACAAGATCTCTGGAAATAATTTCCTACCGGACAAGACCCTCAGTAGGTTGCAAGAAGGTGTAACTTCTATTAAACAGGAGCAGAAAGCCTCAGGGGTGAGCAAGTTGAGATGAAAACACAATAGGATGAGATAACAAGGATAGTGAGGTAGGGGAAAACTGCCATGAAATTACGAACGCAACAGAAATATTAAAATCATCACTGGAGGAAAAGTTATGGAAAAACGTAACTTAATAATGTATAAGACAAAGGTGAAAAATTCTTTGTATAGGGTAGCCCATTATGCCCCAAGTTATGTTATATCCTCAAATTATTCATCCATTAAAACACTATTAGAATGACTTCTATGCCAACTAAATTGGAATGAGAGGGACCAGATTTACCCTCCTACTGATGCAACTAAAAAAACTGGACAAAAGATATGAAACAATGGTCCATAGGATATTGCATATGGCCAACACCAAAGGGCAATCCCAAGAGATGGGAAACAAATGAGGTGATCCCTACAAATGCCACACCTTACTGACTGGAAAGAGTTTCTAGGCTGTGGCACAGGGAGGGGAAACCCAGGCAGATCCTGGAAGTCTCTCTGAGTTGCAGAGATGGAGCTGGGAATCCTGGGAGTCCAAAGTGACTGGAGTTCACAGAGCAGAGCACTGGAGAGGAGGGAGTTGCACAGAGGGAACTCCTGCTGTCTCTGCAGAAGGTCCCGTTGAGTAATCAGCAGAGAGTTGCCTCAATTATTCATCTGAGTAGTGATTAGCACACATGTGTGAGGAAACTACCTGAGGCTGGGGAAGGAATCAGGATGAGAGGGAACAATCCCTGGAAGGCACAGAGAACTAAGCATAGTGTCTATTTCCAGCAATCAGAGTAGAAAACTCCCATAATTCATGAATCACTGAGTAGAGTACTTAGAGAGTTTTGCCTTGCTAACTGGGCAAAATTATCTCTAGAAAAAATGCCTTCCTGGTGCTAACAAAAGCTTGACCCAAAAGTGTCAACTTACCACCAAACTAGCTTTATAACAAATGCTAAAGGAACTCCTCTAGGCAGGAAGCAGAAGAGAAGGAAAAGACCTACAATAACAAACCCAAAACAATTAAGAAAATGGTAATAGGAACATACATATTGATAATTACCTTAAATGAAATGGATTAAATGCTCCAACCAAAAGACATAGACTGGCTGAATGGATACAAAAGCAAGACCCGTATATATGCTGTCTACAAGAGACCCACTTCAGACCTAGGGACACATATAGACTGAAAGTGAGGGGATGGAAAAAGATATTCCATGCAAATGGAAATCAAAAGAAAGCTGGAGTAGCAATTCTCATATCAGAGAGAATAGACTTTAAAATAAAGCCTATTACAAGAGACAAAAAGGACACTACATAACGATCAAGGGATCAATCCAAGAAGAAGATATAACAATTGTAAATATTTATGAACCCAACATAGGAGCACCTCAATATATAAGGCAAATGCTAACAGCCATAAAAGGGGAAATCGACAGTAACACAATCATATTAGGGGACTTCAACAAACCATTTTTACCAATGGACAGATCAACCAAGATGAAAATAAATAAGAAAACACAGCTTTAAATGATACATTAAACAAGATGGACTTAATTGATATTTATAGGACATTCCAACCAAAAACAACAGAATACACTTTCTTCTCAAGTGCTCATGGAACATTCTCCAGGATAGATCATATCTTGGGTCACAAATCAAGCCTTGGTAAATTTAAGAAAATTGAAATTGTATCAAGTATCTTTTCCGACCACAACGCTATGAGACTAGATATCAATTACAGTAAAAAAAACTGTAAAAATTACAAACACATGGAGGTTAAACAATATGCTACTAAGTAACCAAGAGATCACTGAAGAAATCAAAGAGGAAATCAAAAAATACCTCGAAACAAATGACAATGAAAACACGATGGCCCAAAACGTATGGGGTGCAGCAAAAGCAGTTCTAACAGGGAAGTTCACAGCAATACAACCCTACCTCAAGAAACAAGAAAAATCTCAAGTAAACAACCTAACCTTATACCTAAAGCAATTAGAGAAAGAAGAACAGAAAAACCCCAAAGTTAGCAGAAGAAAATAAATCATAAAGATCAGATCAGAAATAAACGAAAAAGAAATGAAGGAAACAATAGCAAAGATCAATAAAACTAAAAGGAGGTTCTTTGAGAAGATAAACAAATTGATAAACCATTAGCCAGACTTATCAAGAATAAAAGGGAAAAGACTCAAATCAACAGAATTTGAAATGAAAAAGGAGAAGTAACAACTGACACTGCAGAAATACAAAGGATCATGAGAGATTACTACAAGCAACTCTATGCCAATAAAATGGACAACCTAGAAGAAATAGACAAATTCTTAGAAAAGCACAACCTTCAGAAACTGAACCAGGAAGAAATAGAAAATATAAACAGACCAATGACAAGCACTGAAATTGAAACTGTGATTAAAAATATTCCAACAAACAGAAGCCCAGGACCAGATGGCTTCACAGGCGAATTCTATCAAACATTTAGAAAGAAGAGCTAACACCTATCCTTCTCAAACTCTTCCAAAATATAGCAGAGGGAGGAACACCCCCAAACTCATTCTACGAGGCCACCATCACCCTGATACCAAAACCAGACAAGGATGTCACAAAGAAAGAACTCTACAGGCCAATATCACTGATGAACATAGATGCAAAAATCCTCAACAAAATACTAGCAAACAGAATCCAACAGCACATTAAAAGGATTATACACCATGATCAAGTGGGGTTGATCCCAGGAATGCAAGGATTCTTCAGTATACACAAATCAATCAATGTGATACACCATATTAACAAATTAAAGAATAAAAACCATATGATCATCTCAATAGATGCAGAAAAATCTTTCGACAAAATTCAACACCAATTTATGATAAAAACTCTCTAGAAAGCAGGCATAGAGGGATCTTCCCTCAACAAAATAAAGGCCATATATGACAAACCCACAGCCAACATCATCCTCAATGGTGAAAAACTGAAACCTTTCCACTAAGATCAGGAACAAGATAAGGCTGCCCACTCCCACCACTATTATTCGACATTGTTTTGGAAGTCCTAGTCATGGCAATCAGAGAAGAAAGGAAATAAAAGGAATCCACATCAGAAAAGAAGAAGTAAAGCTGTCACTGTTTGCAGATGACATGATACTATACATAGAGAATCCTAAAGACGCTACCAGAAAACTACTAGAGCTAATCAATGAATTTGGTAAAGTAGCAGGATACAAAATTAATGCACAGAAATCTCTTGCATTCCTATACACTAATGATGAAAAATCTGAAAAAGAAATTAAGGAAACACTCCCATTTACCACTGCAACAAAAAGAATAAAATACCTAGGAATAAACCTACCTGAGGAGACAAAAGACCTGTATGCAGAAACTATAAGACACTGATGAAAGAAATTAAAGATGATACAAACAGATGGAGAGACATATACCATGTTGTTGGACTGGAAGAATCAACATTGTGAAAATGACTATATTACCCAAAGCTATCTACAGATTCAATGTAATCCCTATCAAAGTACCAATGGCATTTTTCACAGAACTAGAACAAAAAGTTTCACAATTCGTACGGAAACACAAAAGACCCCGAATAGCCAAAGCAATCTTGAGAACGAAAAACGGAGCTGGAGGAATCAGGCTCCCTGACTTCAGACTATACTACAAAGCTACAGTAATCAAGACAGTATGGCACTGGCACAAAAACAGAAATATA